TACCGAATGGAAGGAAAGGACTGGTTGCATATTTCTGTAAGGGGAGCACTTGAGCAATCGGGCCTAAGATCGCTCTTCTTTACAAGATTGGCACCATACCGCTTTTCGCGCTTCACTTTCAGTTTGTGAGGGTGTTGTAGTAGCAGAAGCATCAGTACTCGATGTACCTGATTCACTGACCTATGTCTGCATGCCAACGACTGATCTTAGAGGTACTGGCGGCTGCATATATCTTCTCGTCTAGCGCGTATTGGCTTACTCTCCCATATACGTATTAAGCAGCCATGAGGACTTTCACTTTATGCCAACCGTGTTGAACGCCTGTGAAAGAGGTATGTCAGTAGAATCGGATGACAAATAGTCTAGGAGTGCGGATAAACCTCAGAAGTGTTGATTTTATCAATCTGCTGATGCTGCCAGCCAGTATATTGTCAAGACCGAATTTTTGGGATCCTCTGCCATTGTTTGGCATCATAGAGGTACTGATACTTAGCAGATCAGTCACTTGGCAGTTCTGCGATTCATGTACAACCATCATGGTGTTTCAGTGTGAATTTTCAACCTCCGATTTACTCTCATCTTTCAGTGATCATGGTTTGTCAGGCTCAGTTCCGGTTTAACAGGTGCTGACAATATCCGGTTGTCATGAGAGGAGAAGGGTATCCTCAGATTCTTTGATAGTGTTCTAAGATACTCGTATGGATGGTGGCTTTTCTTGGAGTGCCAAGCTGCCCCGATAAAAGGCGATACAGTGTTCGTGAAGATGACAGAATCATAGTATCTGACAGTATTCAGCCAATCTCTCACTACCAAGCCGATTTCATTTGACTAACCATAAGCCTTTCGATACTTCAGCGAAAAGTAAGATAATCAAGCTGGTTCTACTGTCGCTTGTGTTCGTCATAGACGACACACACCATTTTCCAAAACATTTGTTATGCATCTATGGTTGCTTCTCGGTCCGAGTGTGTAGAACGTCCAGAAAGTGCTTTGAAAAGAGTCCGATAGATGTTGTCTTTTAACATGAGCTTGACACCCTTTGTGGTTTGTCACAGCTAGAGATGGTGGAGTGTGTGAATTTGCTGTATCGGAATCCACCAAACACCTGGAAACTATTCGGTAGAGCCCGAAGCTAGTGGTAAGAGATCACTTGGTTTATGCAAGCCTGTGAAAGGGATATTACAAATATTGACGACAGATAAACACAATACTAATCATTTAACTTAGTTTCGTCTGTCAAAATAACACAACTTATCTGTAGTCATATAACCATTTAAAATTCGTATTTAAGCTGTCTACTGATAAGATAGCAGACAAATGAACTGACAGTTAACTACAGAATGCACAAAATCGAGGCGCAATGTGCTCGAGTTTTATCTTTTTTGATAACTGTTCTCATTTTGATTGCTACGGGAAATATGTAACGACCTGATGTTGATAGGCTTTATTGTATTTTTTACCTATGATGTTGCAGGGTGAGTGACAGGAGAGCACACGTAAGTCTAGGATTTTGAAAATCTTTATTTGGAGTAAAGAAGAGAAAGGAATGAATCAGTGACTTGTCAGGTGCAAAAATTTAATTGCATTTAATAACAAGTGATAGTCAAACGATAGTTGATAATGCGCAATGAGACAAAAAAGAAAACTTAGTTTCGGAACTAGAATTTGCTTGGATTCATTTCTAATTCCCTTAAGGGAACAGTACTACCTCGCTGGTAAGATTTTCCTCTTTAAGTAACTCGTGTTGCCTATGATTTTGTCAAAAGTTGTCAGGCTCCCTCTCAGCGTGCAGTAACTGAGTGTGCTAAGACAAATTTCTTGAAGTTGATACTAGTCAGGCTTACTTCTCAGTTGTGCAGTACTTTTTATTAGTCTCTGCTGGATCTTTTCTATAAGATTTTCATTTCAATCAAGAAGAACCGAAATGAAAGTGTTGTGAGTTTTGAGATAAGATCATATATAGGCTCTGGAGCGTTAAAGGAAGAGGTATGGAATGAATGCTTCTAAATATCTACAGTGTAGGGCCTTAATATGGTTTTCAAGTCTTTTGTGCTTTCCTTCAGGTTCACTCTTTGGAGCAGTTCACAGTTATGCTTAATCGCTGATTGATACAGGCCAAATACACAATGAACACGTAACCTTTTGAAGTGCTGAAGTATGTGATCTTCAATTTTCTGGATTATTTACAATATCTAAGTTCTTTGACAGATACAGTTAACAATAAGCAAGCAAAGATTATGTGAGACATTGTAGCTGTTAAGTAACTGATAGGTTGTTGCAGTGCTTCAGCACCATGGTTCGCAAAATCATCTACCCATTTTCATCAATTACTAACACGATGCAAACAGTATCTACACCCAAATTACCATTTCATCACTCCGGAAAATGCCGCAAAGAATGTCTCAGCATACGTTCAAGAGTCGACAGTGAAGATAAAAAGTCTTATATTGCTTCGCACGCCAAGGACAGTAGTTTTTTGATAAATTTTTGGCTATCTTACACAATCATGTGCGTAAATTTTGGTTAGTGAAGAGAAAAAGCAGGGTGTTTCCTACTTATTCCAACCTCAAGGGGGCTGTTTGCCACCCTTCTTCCAATCCTGGAGTTGAGAAACCGCTTTTATAATGGCTTATAAACCAAGAGACTTTCAGCATCACTAGTGTCCTGTGCTTCCTGACTCACAGAAACTTTCACATGAAGTGCGGTCTTTTCGAAATTGTAGACGGATTTTCATCTCCTCACTTGTGTCAACTGCAACTGCTGTCTTGCCAGTGATGATATATAACTCCTCGTAGTACTGAAATGTTATGTATTTTCAAGAAAAGCGATTTCTCAATAAGTTTCAGTTTTGTAACTGGATATGTTGATAAAAGATTATGTTAGCTACTTTTAGAGCATTAGAATGAAGCGAGATTGAACGAAAATTGAAGACGGTTCCCTTAAGATGTGCAATTAATCTACTTAACTTCCAACTGTTAACCTGAAACGCGTGGGAAACTAGTGGATTCCTAGATGATTTCTCCCTAACTTGAGGATTTAAAGTGTTAAGACGCCCATGATATTATTCACAGTTGACCACATTAGTAAATATGTATCCATGTGTACTTAAAGATATGCGAGTGAACAACAGCAAATTTATGTGGTCATTACCGTCATGTATGATCATAAATCTGGTACTCTACTGTGTAGACATATTTTACTTCCATGTGCAATTCGACTGTTCATCTCTGAACAGAAAAACAGAAAAACTTATTTTCGTAACGAATACGTAAGAACTCGTTCACTTCTATCAATGGGTCGAAAATCAATCTCTTCCTATCCAATTCGTACACAAAGTTTTCTAATAAAATCTTTAAGGTTGCAAAATTCACATCACACAGAGTAAGCGCTCATGCTTTAGTTTAGGCTTTCCAATTTCAAGTAACGAGGAGTTATGGACAGTAGAGGACTTCAGGATGCGCGTTTCTTGCTATTCTTGACTCGTCAGCCGGATGTACCTGCACCCCAGTGAATGATGGTGTTCCCATTTAGACTTGAACCTTATACCCATCGCTTCAAACGCCAGGGCCTTATCCACTAGGATACTGAGGTGCAATAGCCATCTTTTGTACAACGGGTATTAGTTATTACTATTTGTTGACAGACTTGGAATTCCCTGTAGAACAGTTCAATCCAGTGTAAGAAAGGGGAATTACGAGTATATCGACAAAGGAGGTTTTTGTTTGGAAAATAGTTGACTTGTAACGGCTAGTTGTACACACGTTTTTGCCTAGCCTGTAGGCAGGTACATTGTTGCAGGGTGACGCGTAGAGGAGTGTGAATTTACTGGTGACCTCGAGAATCTGAAAGGGAAAGAAGAAGAGTAAAACCTTAACCGACGAATTGGCGAGCACTTAAACGTGTGTCATTTCTTTACCATTCATATCTCGTCAACCTTTAGGATTTCATTGGGAACTTTACGCAGAAACGTATACTGGTAACTGACTGTGCGTTTATTAGTTTTCATTCATCACCGTCACTGACTTGTTTATAAAGGGCTTTATGACTTCATTTGACTTAACAGGGATCGATCTCCCAGCAGGAAACTCTGGCTAATTTAGGGCACGCAAACGACTTATTCTCGTTTAGTGGATATGTTAGTGTAGGACGCATTCTTTCGGACGCTTGGCTTGGTGATTTTAGGATGTTTGAGATGTGTTCCTCAGCAAATGGATTCATGTTGTTTGTTTGTGGAATGGTTCGTTGTAATATTTCGCTGGAAGTTAGAGTATAGAGTTATTGAATGGATTGATTACTTCACTCACGCGTGTTGTTGGACCAGCCTTCGTGGCCAGCTGAAGTTTGGCATGGATTCAGAAGACTGGGTCTGCTAATCTTAACTTATGCCATTTTCAACTGGAGAGATATCTAACTGTCAAGTAGGGGTGGAGTGTACTAAGGAATTGTTCAGTTCATCTTAGCTTATTATTATTAAACATGACCATTGGAGCTTCAGTGCAGCAAAAGACTTAAAATGTCTGACTGCCATAGAAATATACGAGTGATATCGGACCATCATCCTGATAAGGTGCTGTTTTAGATAAAAATTACTTCGGTTTATGAAGTTTCATATCTGCATCAAATTAATTGGGCGAGATATACATTAAACATGCCTAATCACCGTCTGTCTCGGCCAACCATGTCAAGTCATTTAGAACTATCTTTAAACGCATAATAAAGGTGACCAGACTGAAAAATGCTATCACTCTGTAGAACGTTTGACTACCAGTCTGATCCTCTTGGGAAAGTAAAGGCTTCAAGGTTACAGTTCATCTGACCAGCGTAACCGATGTTTGGACACTCTAGGTGCAATAACTGGGAGCTATTAGTAGTTATCCGCATGTATTCATACTTTTTTTCATCTTACGCATTAAATCACTTCTGTTATTGGTATTAACTGATCTTCCTATCTAGAGACTTTTATGCCATTAGTGATAATATTTTACTTCTTTGTCTTTCAGTTCGTTTCGATATCTGGATATGCTAATGTAAAACTGTTATGTTAGAATATCAATCGTAAAGGTTGAAATTTTGAAGATTTTTGAATTATTGGACAAAAATTAATCCTAATCTACAAACGGGAAGGCTCTTTCCAAAATAAAAGTTTTCTCTTTCAAACAGATGTCATACCAATTTGTACATGGTCTAACTTCTGTTAAATAACTAATTGGTATTTAGCTTCTATGAGTACTACTTTTCTTTAATTATTGGCAAAAGTAACTATGAATTTCTTTATGTAGTGAAATGTATACACCTTAGTTGTGTGCTAAAGCGTCAACGTGAAGAGTCTATTTGAAGCACAGTAGAGTGGTGTGGGTATTTGCATTGCTGGCCTGGAAAACGGGAGATGGTATGTGCACCAGTGATTACAGGTCGAGCTTATTTACACAGCTACAGTGAGCCTGCATACAACCCGTTGGATATCAACCAGTGAACTGTCAGAGGTGACTTAGCGGTAAACATGGTTGACGATATCCATATGTGCAGATCAGCAGTGCGGTTTTTCAAAGCACGGACGGTCAAGCTAAACCTCAAGATTCCGCCCTCTGCTCTGGGTGAAGTGGGACTCAGTGGTAATTCCTGTAGTCACGTTTTTGAAGCAGTCCTTAGCGGGGATTATGGTTTTGCCTTGCATAGGTGGGCGTTTGTCGGTACAGCATGCCAGGTGTCATTAGTTGTAGCCTTAGTAATATGAGTAGTCTCAAAGAAGCCCCCATATGTGAAATTCCCTTTAGAAGGAGATAGTCTTTCAAAGTGAGGTGCATCTCTTCTGCAGGATTGTAGAACTACAGCCAGACACATCCCAATCATGTCTTCCATTTGCAGGTGAGTAACCTCAAATAACCTGGTTACCTGGGGAATGTGGAAGCACTGAACCCTGAAAGTTGGGGAGGGAGTTCTGCGATTGCACTGATCAGTATTGAGGGCATGTTAATAGAGTCCTTTGGCAGGAGCGTTGGGCTTTCATGCAGATGAATTACAGCCACGTTGCCTGCTACATGAGACGATCAAACCTTGATTAATGGCTTCCAAGCAGATGAGGTTCCACCTGAGAGCTGAACCGAAAATCGGATCAAGACTCTCTTTAGCTAGTTAGTTAGTTATCCAGGTAGTTAGGTAGGTAGGTATTTACTTAGTTGGTTAGGTAGTTGTTTATTTATTCACTTAGTTAATTATTCATTTAGTTAGTTAATTAGGTAGTTATCCAGTCAGTTAGTTACTTAGCTAGTTAGTTAGTCGGTTACTTAGTTAGTCAAGTAGTTAGTTAGTTAGGTATTTATCTATTTATTTATTTATTTAGTTAGTTCGTAACTTAGTTAGTTATTAAGACAATTATTTATTCATTTAGTTAGTTAGTTGGTTGGTAAGTTAGTTAGTTGGTTATTTGGTTAGTTAGGTAGTTAATTAGCTAGTTAGTTAGTTAGTTGGTTAGTTAGTTACTTAGTTAGATAGTTGGTTATTTAGGCAATACGAAGCATGTATCTTTACGCTCACCTTCAACTGTGTAATGGAAATAAACGATGTGTGAAATGATGGATCATTTGAATGGTATAGAAGAACTGAAAGTTAACAAAATTATAATGTTCACAAGAACCAAATTTTATCTTTCATTTTCAGGTATGCGTTGATTGCAGTTAATAGTAAGCTCAAAATTGTGGTAAAAAAAGGATTTAAAACCTACTGGTTGTAAAAATCTGACATCATTCATATACGTGACAATGCCTACATTCTCATATGTTGTTTTATTTCAGATCATTTTAGCTCAGTATAGGCATACATATTGAACAAAAATGGATTATGATAAAGATGATGATTGTGGTAGGTCAATAAATAGATTTATATTTCCCTAATGCATTCACAAAACAGTTTTATACTCAGCTCGTGAGCTTCCACGTATTGAGGTAAGAATAATAGAAGTATAAATGTCTTCTGTAAGATAAAACTGTACATTTCTTTAAATTGTTAAATTTAAACAAACTTACACCATAAAAAAGAAAGCATGACGTTCAAATTTACGTTTTTCTTATTCATTCAGATTGAAGAACGTCTAAGATTTTACAAAATGGAATTAGATAAGAAGGATGAATTGATAAGAGAAATGATGAAGTAAGCGATTAGCTAACATCATCCATATTTTTTACATATTTATACAGAATAACAGCTAATACACCAGCAGTTATTCCGCATTTTCGAACATCAGATACACAAATTTGTTCACATGAAAAATTAGAAGAAATTCGAGTTAAAGTTGAAAAACTTCAACATACAGTAAGAAAGGTTCATTGTTTTCTTTTGTTTATATAACTGAATTTATTGTTAGATTGCAGAGAATAAAGAAGTGATACATGAAAAAAATATGACAATTAATGAATTGAAAACTGAATGTGATATGATACGATTAGAAAATGTAGATCATTTGAAAAGAATTGAAGAATTGGAAAACTTATTACTAGAACAATCACATAAGCTTCATAGTCACGAACAAGCTGAAAATCAACACACTTTAGTTATTCAATCGTTACAAGAAGATGTGAAGTTGAAAATGAGCAAACTTTTAGATTTACGTTACCAATATAAGTGAGTGAAATATGTTCATTTTAAATTGAACTATCCAAGCTTACACGTTTACTTTTTCTTTTGTTCTATACTAGTTCATTCAGTGACTTTAAAGACCACCCAAGGAAGGACTTGAACGACCAATCATATTTCCTGATTCTGACTGAAAAAATAGTTTTTCATAAAATACAGAAGTCTGATTGGTTATTCTAGTCGTTGGTGGGGTGGCTTTTAGAGTCATTCAGTTTATTTCCCTGAGAGATGGATTGTAAATACCAGTATTTTTTGTATGAAAATGGTGTAGGGAAAACCTTTATTCACTCATAAGTTAATCGTGATTATCTCTCTTACGTGTGATCATTGTGACCACCTTAGAAGTAAGCTTCATTTACTACTGAAGACGTCTTCAGATAATAATAATAATAATAATAATAATAATAATAATAATGGTAATAATGATAGTAATATTAATTGCTTTATTCCAAGCAAGACTTGTGGTACACTGGCGGATTCTTAGCGTGTAATAGTTCAACAAATTCATTCCCTGTACAATATCTTTAAACGAAATAATAATGTCAGTAGTAAAAGCCACAGTGTTTAACAGGTACATAGTATTACATTAGCGTATGGTCTCGACTGGTGAATGAATAAAATATCGAGCGTGATTTTGGTGGTGATAGTTTATTCAGCCAGTACCAAAATCTGCAATCTGACATAGTTATCCAAGGAATATATATATATATATATATATATATATATATATATATATATATATATATATATATATATAGTGTATTTCTGTGTATTCATAAATCCATATCTTACCGGTGTATCATTTATTCTTTGTCTTGTTGTTAGTTTAGAAAACGCCAGTGTAGAACCAATTTAAAAGTGTGCAAGAGTACTTGATGCATTTCAAAGACATATTTCAAAGAGTAAAACAAGTTGAAAGGGAAAAATATGATGAAATAAATTCGGTGGAAAAATTTCGATAGCCTAAAGTTTAAGCAGACCGCCAGCAATATTGTGAACACTTCATTTTTAAGGTTTGTGGGAATTTATTATTTCATCATGCTGAAGGGACCCCCAGTAGGATGAAACAGCTCTCCAGTGCTCCCAGGTTCCCAATGTTTCAGTCCATAGTGAATGCCAACTTAAAATCAAAAAATCCCTATAAACTAAAAAACTGAATAAATCTAGTGCTCATTGGTAACTAGCATTTAGAGGTGATTCCTGAAGTTCTAATGAGTAGTCATGACCAATGGAGCCAATCAAGTTGAACAGTGAAGACAGTTATTCGACGACGGCATCGAATGTAGGTCATGCTATATCATGAACTGACAGAAGTAGGAAATATGAATTATTAGGTTCCGACCCAGTGGCTCAATGCTAACGTGCTGACAGCGGAATTTGAAGGTCCTGGGTTCTATCCTCGGCGAGGTCATAAGAGTGCACTGCTCCGGAGTCCAATAATAGGATAAAAAACAGCTGTCCAGTGCTTCTAGGTTTCCAATATTTCTCCAATTGTGAACAATTTTTAGAGTTTTGAACATCCTATGCTATTTGTTTCAAAGTTAAGAATGCAGGACATAATGAAACTTGGAATTGCAATATTTACAATAAATCTTCTAGAAAGCTTTCTATCGAATTCTTTATGATATTGTCATTCGGTGGTTTTAATTATTAAGTCGCATATTCTAAATTGAGTCACACCTGTATTTCATCATTAAGATGTTATTGATACAATTTTATTCATACCTTTCAGAATATTAGAGGAGAAGTATGAAAGTAAACTACAAGGTGAGAAAAAATCTGAAGAAGAATTCGAAAAATACCTAAGAGATCAAGCAAATTTACTGGAATGTGAAGCTAAGTCACAAATATGTATACTTAAGGTAATGAAATTCGCTTTGTAATATATTTACAATTATGTTAGGTAAATTTATTGTGAAAATAGGTTTTAAACGCGAAAACGTATATCATACAGCGATGAGGATACAACTCTATGCTTCTTACAATAAAAATAAGCGAAAGTTTGTTGTTAGAATTATCCGAGGTAATACAACATGATTGTTTCAATTTCTCAGCTATTTATTCTCTGATAAAAGCCATATACTTGACTCACAGTGCAAAAATTGGAATTACTTTTAGTGACAGCAGGTGTTGAGCCTACATTCTTTTGCATATCTTAATTTTTGACACAGCGAAGAATTTTATATAGATATCGGGATCAAAATTTGACCTGATAGAGTTGAATAAGTTGAGCATAGGGTAAATGAAATATTTCTGTAAAATTCCAATTAGGTAGAAAAAGAATTCCTGATATTTCGTGACTTCATGGTTATTGCTTTATCGGAGAATAAAACCTCCACACGTTATCGAATGTTTAAATAGTAAATGGTGACAATTTAGATCATATTGTTCATACATGATACTAATATGGGCATAAATGGGGTCACTTTAAAGGCCACCCTAGTAAAAACTGAAATAATCAATCAAACTACTGTATTTTTTGAAAATTTACTTTTCTAACCAAAATGAAGAAACCGAAATTGGTTATTTCGATCGTTGCTTTAATGACCTGTAATGTTGCCCAATAATTTTAGTACTTTTAAGATCAATTTTGTGATTATGATAGATGGCATAAACAGTGGTTGCTTATTTGATTTGTAAATTTCCCACAAGATTACTTGTGGGTCATTTCGTGTAACTTGCATGAGGGAATGATGACTTTACAGACTGATTCCCCAGTATAATACAAGCACCAAAATTCACACAACCCTGTATGTAGGCACAGTTCTATATGGAGGTAAAAAGAATTTCGACTAAATTTAGACTAAAGCATTCGTGAGTGTTGGTTGTCTTGTGCAAGCATGTAATTCGACGTTTACTTAAAATTTTTGGAATTCTTTAGTTACACCATGACCGAATGGTAGAATTATTGTGCTAATCCAAGGGCCATTACTTTTATTTTCTTCTTGGATCCTTCTGTTCATGTTTTTGAATTTATGGAATAATATCGTCATGATAGTAATTGGAATGTATGCTTCCACTTATCTGTCATCTTCATTGGTGACGAGCTTTGTGGCCCTCTCGAATAAGTTCCAAGCAAGTGAAAACTAACAAGTTGACAGAAGAGGCATCGAAAACGAGACTTCAAGTGAGTGGAGAAGACGGAGGTGGTGAAGACACCCAACAACAAAAGCATCAAATACAGCAAGCACCAATCACCAGGAACGGGAGAAACCTGAAGGAAGTAGTCTCTTTCACGTACCTAGGCAGCATCGTTTTAAGTACAGGTGGTGAGACACATGAGGATGTCAAAACAAGGATCGGGAAAACAGCAAAACAGGCTTTCATTAACCTGGAATCAGTGTGGAGATCTACTGTACACGTTATAAACCATGAACAAGATCCAGATTTTTAACACCAATGTCAATTGAGTGCTGCTATATGGTTCAGAAACTTGGCGCGTCATGAAAAGCACTTCCAACAAACTACAGACATAAATCATCAGCAGCTGCCTACGCTGGCTCGATACTGAAAATCAGATGGCCAGAAAGAATAAGCAACAAAAAACTCTAGGAACGTACCAACGAAGAACCTATAGCCCAATAAAGATGCAGAAGAAAGTGGAGATGGATTGGATTGGGTATACACTGAGAAGGCCGATTGGGAGCATTAAGCACCAGGCCAGGCCGTCGAGTAGAACCCAAAAGGGAGATGACGAGTTGGGCGTCCCAGCTGGGGGTAACATGAAGGAGATCATGTGAGGAAGAAATGAAAAAGCTTCTAGGCAGTCATAGAATCAGGTTAAGATGACTGTAGAGAACAGAGTGGAATGGAGGCGTGCTACTGAAGTCCTATGTTCCACTAGGAACCCAAGGGAAAAATAATAATAATGATAAGTGAAAGTTTAGCACTGAATGGATGTGTTGAGTTGAAATCCAGATATCGATCTGAATAGATTGGTCTACGATAAATCGATAAACTTGAAGTTCCGTTTCCATTCCTTTTAACTAAACAGTCTAGAAATTGTAGTTCACCACTTGTATTTTCATGTTTACTTTTAAATTTATTGTATGAAGAATGAGTTTTAATTAATTAGAAAAAGTTCTGAGGACAGATCTTTGTATCATCTACTTATCTAAGCCAAATACTCATTTTGATGGCGTTATCAAAGTTCATGGATTCAATATGAGACACGAAGAGGTTTGCAATGATAAGAAATACTAGAGAACCCATTACCCCTCCATTTTGTTTGTTTATATAATTTCCCCTCTTAACATGAAAAGTATCCAAGTTAAACAAAATTTGAGTGATTTTATGATGAGGCTGAGATTTAAATGAAATCTGTCTACCAATGTTTAATCACACTGTAGTGATTCACCTATAAAGTGTAAACACTTTTCAATGGAAATATATATCGTGAGCTAACAGAAGTTGGAAATATGGAGCATTGGTTTCTGAGCCAGTGGCTCAATGGTAACGTGCTGGCGGCGGAACCTGAAGGTTGCGGGTTCGATCCCTGCTGGTGGGGTCGTCGGTGCGCACTGCCGAGGGGTCCCATACTAGGACGAAACAGCTGTCCAGTGCTCCCAGGTTTCCTTTGTTCCTCCAACTAATGTCAGTCTACGATGAATAACAACTTGAAATATTAGTATACAGTGAAATAGCATCATAACTTACCATTGTATCACTCTCTACCATTGATAACTCCAATGTTTCCAAATTGAATTCATATGAATCTTTAATTGAGCTGATAACAAAGAGTTGGAGAGATTAAAGTAATTAGGCTAGATATTTGGATTGTGCATATGCTGCAAAGTTTATAAAGTTCACTGTCGGTCTCAGATAGATATGAGGTTTATGGACTTTTGGTAATCCATAGAAATGTGGTGATGTTCCGCTTTTTTGGACAAAGAGAAACTAATGATGAGTCTCCGATGACCAGCCTTAGTCCCATTAAAAACTGGCCTGCTTACCATTTTCATCTTGTTCTTCTCTACATGGCACATTTCCAACCTAATATTTTCTATAGAGATCGGTTGAGAGATGTTCAAATGCTTCACGGTCATAATCAGTTTTTTTTAAATAATGTACCAGAGATTATGACTATACTATACCCGTCGCACAAGGAGTGGTCATTGTTAGTCGGTGGCCTAGTGTATAATCCTGTAGCATTTGAAACGGTCAGTTTAGAGTCCTACTCTTAATGGGGATAACACCAATCATAAGCAGAGAGATTTATCCAACTGACAAGTCCCAAATAGAACGAAACGTACGTCCTGGATCCTACTGGTTGTCACTATCCATCCTCAATTAGTATCTTTATGCGTTTATTATCATATGACAAATAATTATAGTTGTTTATTTATCCATAATAATATTCTAGTAACTTTCAATGTTCGTTAAATAGACTCATAAATTTTTATTGTCTTCCTTACTATGACTATTTTCTTATATATAATTCTACCAACTTATAGCTAACTGATATGCTCAGATCATTCTCCGATTGTAAGGAACAAATTAAACGACAAGGTGATTCAATCGAAGCCTATGAATTTGAGCAAAGAGCATGTAGAGAAACTATTTCACGTCTATCTGGAGAAATTAATAAAGAACAAACGGCAAGACAAGCAGCTGAAAACTCTGAAAGAGAAATAAAACAGGTTACGGCTAAATATTTTCATTTATTTATGAAATAAGAAGCTATATTATGTAAATAGTTGTTATACATGTTCTGCTGATAATTGATATTTGTTAGAACCAATGGAAGAGGGCCTCTTATTCTTGTTGGGAACAGTGTTGAGCTACGTTGAGATTGTTCACTCATTGAATATCCTATCTATCATCCTCATATCAAGATTATAAGGGATCTAGGAGGTGAATCATTTCATCTGACTTCTAGACATAGTTTTTACTTGAACCAGTAGCAGTTATTTCGTGTGTGATTAGAAGTGGCCTAAATCAAAATCAACATTCTAAGTCATAAGCTGCTAAAATAGAAGTACTGAATTTCAACTTTTGTTTCTTGTTACTGTGTGGTCAAGAAAAAAACTTTATTGGACAATCTATCCTACACTTGACCAGTCAAAATAAACATCCAGCTTTTGACTTAACGGTTTTATATGTTCATGTCAGCTGTAAGTAAATGATGTACTTTTATCGAATAAAGAGTCTCCTTTACAGTCATAGACCCTTCTTTGCCTTTTGATTTTAGAGGCTGAGTTGAGTGTAAGGTTTTGAGGAAGAACAGTTGCTCTCCGTATCTAGTCCGTTGAGCCATAACATTAATATAGTCTGCATTCTTGTTAATATTCTCCTAGTCACTTCAATTGGCAACAAGGACGAAATCTACTGGATTGAATCATTTCATCTGACTTCTAGGTATCATTAATAGTTGCATTTTTTTCTGATAAGTTAACTAGTAGCACTTGTCTCACATGAGAATAGCTATCAGGGAGTTTTATAATGAAAGTTTTGTTTGTTTGTATAGCTGTTGTCAAGGAATGCAAATCTTACATTGTTGTTCCTTCTGATTATACAGCAAATCAGATCTTGTTAAAACAAATTAATTTTGATATGTTATTGACCGTGAGGAAAACACCTGGGCGGACAATTTCAAAATTAATACACGAATGACTAAACTCACCCTTCCATTCTCTAGTATATATTTACAAGTTAGCAGTGTAGCTATTACCGTGGACTCATCTAGAATTTTTTTGTTCCCTAGGATTTCATACTCTTGTTTTTGCCTTCAGTTCTACGTGTCTGATGTGCTAGTATATGCCTTATAATATGGGTAGACACGAACAAGAAATGATCCATCAGAATTAGTGAGAAACCTCCACGTATAAATACAAGTAATGTAACTCATCCACCAGATATAAGTTTATTTACTAGGCTGTAAGTTGCATTTGATGCATAATGGCTGATTGCTATACTACTACCCGGCCATGCTATACTATAGAAAGTGAGTGCAATTTTGAACTAGATGAGTATGAGACAGTCCAGCTTATGGTTAGTAGAAATGTCACAGTCACTTGGAAATGATTCAAATGACATTACTAAGTAATTTTCAACTATTTTACTATAGTTATTTACGGTGGAATTATTGTAGTTGGGTTGTCATCCTCGGTAATTACCCTTTGGTATCCGCTATCAATCTCTTAAAATACCTGAACTTTTAAACCAGTGTTAACTGTGCTCCAATTAGATAAGCCTAAAGAAGCTCCAACATGAAGGCAAGACAATTACTGATTCGCTAGTGGCAACTATGGGTTCTCATGCTGTACTCTAACACATGATTGTTGGCTGAACGCACAAGACTGCTTGAGAATGAGAGTTAAAAAGTTACCTACGATGCCATTCTTATTCGAAATCCTGGTCTAGAAGAGACAGTTTGTGTGAATATTGATCTATACCATGGTAATAAGAAGGTCTTCTGAAACTGATAGTTTTATCATAGAAAGAATATTATGTGCTCAGTCGAGATCGCAGTATACCCTGTTCTATAGCGCTTCAAAAGAAAACGCTAATCCATTTGAAGCTTTGGTTTAATCAGTTTAGTTCAGAGTAGTTTTCATCATAGATTGACGTCAGGTAGAGAATCATTGTGAACATAAAAGCAATGGATAGCCGTTTCATCTTGCTTTATGAATCCTGAGTGGTGTGCATCTGTAACCTCACTGGGAATCAATTTTATGACCACTGGGTAATTTAGTGATGACAGTGTCATTTAGCCAGTGAGATGAGAACATATGACTTAGTTTCTTTAACTTTTTTCAACTTTCGATATAGTGCAAACGTGACATGATGTCACCGATAAGCATCCATCATCACACCCAACCATTTTAGTCCTACAGATCACCCAAAGAAGTTGAAAGCAGTGGTCTTCTAAAATCTCACTCAGTGACAGGGTGGTATGATGCTTACCATCAGAACTTACGACCGTGGGATCGATCCTTCACAAGAATATGCGTGTGCACTGCTAAGGATAATAAAACTAGGACGAAACACCTGTCCAGTGCTTTCAAGTTTCAAATATTTCTTCACCTGACGTCAATCCGTGATGTCAATGTTTTTCAAATTATATTCCAACTATCTTCAAATATAACAGACTAATGTACATAATAATGACTTTAATTAACTTGTTACTGTTAATCATTGACTGAGACGATTCACAAGTATGAATACATTTTCAAGCTTTTGAAATTCATCTTCTATAAACCTAACGCTGGATTTGCTTTAGCATCATAAAGTTCATTGCTTAAACATGTCGACCATCGAAGACTGGACTGACAATAACACCAGACTTTTGCCACATTTTGACAATCATAACGTTTGATTAAAGCGTTGATGGATTCGAAATCTAAGGTAAAGATTATTCATTTCAATTTTATATTAATTCCTATGAGTACCTACTCAAAGTAGTTCAGTTACTAGTTTAGATCTCTTTGCTACTGTTGATATTAGTTCATGGAACAAATCATTTCTCATTACACCTTAGCTTGACTATTTCATGTTTAACGTCTTAGTTTATATCAACCATTTATCTAGGAGTTGGCGAAAACTGAATCAGCTTATGAAAGATCAGAAGCTCGTATACGTTTATTAGAGGAACGTATACATAGTTTAACACAATCACTTCAAGTTGCAAGAGGTGATGCAGTAGAACGTGAAAAACAGTTGAATAGAATAAATGAAGTGGAGTCAATGTTTCAACGTAAAGATAGTGATGATAATAATGTATCTACTCACTCTATTACACCAGAACAAGAGAAATTTGATTGGACTTCAGATGATATACATGCTATTCAAAAGTTTGCGTAAGTTCAGTGGAAAATTTTTAATACTGATTTATCAATACCGATCTCATAGAATAAACCACATTTAGAGGAAATAATAATTGTTAATTGCATATAATTGAAATCCATAACATAGATTTTTCCTTTTGTAAAATTTTCATTTATATGTATCCATTTTCTAATGACCAGTTTTCTGTAGAAATGAAACATTTACCGATAAATCAAGTCTCTCCACGAAAAACGTATTTTACCAAATAAATTGCCGAAAATATGATCTTTTTAGTCAATGTACTACATTAAATAGAAAATTTTAAAGGTTTTACTAGTCTAGAGATGCACTAGAATGCCTGGTTGTGACAGTACTTAAGTCAAAGCCTCCCTCTGATTCGCACAAAGGACTATCTCCCGACTGAAGTATGAGGTTTAAATATTAATCAGGTTCCAGTATCAATTCAGCTAGCGTGTAGTTTATCCATTCTATTATGTGAACAAGAAATACATAAGTAACAAAAGATAATTCAGCGAAATACTTTTCTTTTCAACGAATTATTTTCAAAAGCTATCCATTCGTATTCACAGTTACAACAAAAACATATCCATCAATGGCTAATGGGTCATAGAAAATTGTCAAAAGAGATAGAAAGTGATTATGCCCAGAAGATCAACACAAGGTTGGAGATCAGGATTGAAGCGATAAGTTGCCAAGGCTTCTGCGGTGTTCAGATGATGAGTCCATACTTCCTTCATAATGTTTGCTTTGACTTTACAAATAACTTTGAGCGACGATTTTAGTGAAAGAGAATGACCAGATTTAACCATATGCTCTAAAACCAAGTTTATAGGTTGGCACTCTGCTTTAAAAAGACATGCAAGACAGTGTTCGGAGATGCTCTTGGATAGAATACGCTTTGTATGCCCTATGTAACCAGCTGCACGGGCGCAGGTGAACTGATGAACCCCCAAGGAGGCGACTCAGGGTGGTAGTTTATCCTACTCATACTTTCGAATCATTTGTTGACTGGAGGATGTCAGCCGTCACCGTTCCCATTTAACTTCGTTAGATGTACTAATAGGCATAACTTCGCAGGGTTTGACCTACTTCTTGGTAGCTATCTGGTTGACTTGGATTCTCCGGACGATATTTTCCTGACAGTTAAAAGCGCTGACAAAACGCAGGGTCTTATAAATGCGTTGAGCAGAAATCTGAGCACCTTTGGCTGTGTGTGTCTCGCACCTGTGAAATTGAAGACGATGCTCCAGGACTGGTTTGCACCTACTTCCATTTTAATGACAGAGATAGAGGTGGTGGAATGCATCAACCACTTCGCTTACTTAGGGAGTGGCTTCAGATCTAACGGAGTGGTTGCTGACAAAATCTCAGTTGAGATAAGGAAGGCTTGTTTAGCGCTTGCCAACTTGCGTCATCTACGCCACCGGCGAGATGTCTGACCTGCATCTCGTTCTGTCCTGTTATGTGGCTTTAAGACATAGCCGTTGAAAGTGGAAGATATGAACGGATTACAGGTTTTGACTACAGGTGTTTTCTTAGCGTCGCTTGCTTATAGTTATCACAGTGTGAGCGGTGTTGAGGCCAAGCGAAGGGTACTAGACAAGAGTAGAGAATCGGTCAGTGAGGTTGTGAACCTTCAGCTACTGAGGTGACTTGTACACTTATTGCGCATGCCAATCCGCAGATTACCTCAACATGCCGTATCATCCAACTTGGAATTCGGTAGGATGAAGGCTGAGGATGACCAGACAGAGACATAGTCGGTCTGAGCTGTGCAGAGAGGAGTAGAGTACTCGGTTGAGGTCCTCGAGACGGCAGAAATCAGTGATTGAGGACTTTACTGAAACAGCTAAACGTTAGTCACAGTAGTGCAAATGTACCCACTCTTTGATATCTTTGATACCTTGAATTTTTTGATCAACTTTCATTTCTAAATTCATCGTCCTCCTATACACCTTTGTATACTTTTATGCCAGTCTTTTTCTATTCCTTTTTTTATATATTACCAAGAAGTGTGGCAACCTGGAACGATGCACTTGCGTTCGAAGTTCAACCTTGAATTCGTCTATCTCTCTGTATTCCTGTTTTCAGTTTGTTTTGACACTAACCAGAGATACTAAGTTATGATTTCTTCACCGCAGTGGTGCTGTGTGGGAAAAATTTCATTTCTGAAATCACTTTAAATGAATCTTTCTGATAACACAGTTGATATATTTCAATCTATGACGTTCAACAGATGGGTTGATGTACAATGCTTGTGCTACAAAACAACTAACTAGTCACTGAAACGTCGATTTCGATCAGAAAATGAAACAAACCTGATAATAGTCACTGTCAAGCGTCAATAATCTTTTTATATGTACAAATTTACAGATTGCTGAGAACTTTGAATTCAGTTTTCATATAGTCCAATATCAGTTTATTCAACTAATTGAAACTACTTCAATAAAATAAGATTTGATGGTGTAAAGGAGTGATATTTCTGTACAAAAATTCAGGATTTTCATTTGGAACCTGAGAAAAGTTTACCCTGTATACCCCTAACGATTTCTGTCACAAGATGGTTGGCTAATAGTTCTGAAATGAGAATCGATGGTTACCGAGGAAAGCTGGTGATGGTCGTACTATATGGTGAGCTGACTAAATTTAGACAATGTTGATTATTTGATTAGAATTGGAAAACTGAATGTTAGCATGTTGCCTGTTTTCACCCAAGGCTCCCAGTTTACAGCTGATATGAAGTTGTAGACGTACACTGTCGCGGAGTTCTGTAGTAAGAAGAAATAGCTGTCTCTCTTGATTTTCTTGTTGACATCTGTTGGTGGTGAAAACCACTTGCAGAAACAGTTTCTTAAAGGAACATTTCAGCAAAATAATAAAAATTATTTCAAGGTAGTATTCATCACGAAATGACATTATTTGGAGGATCATTGAAAACCCTGGGCGCTGGTCAGCTGTTCAGTGTTCATGAGTGACATATTTAGAGATGGATATCGAAGTCCTAATAAGGTTCCATGACATTTGAGATCAACCAGTAGGAAGTGATTCTGATGCCAACTGAAAACCTTGGTGTATAATCGGGCTATACGTAGGATTAAGAGAAGTAGGAAACTGTAGACCTATGAACTCCGAACCAATAGCTGGATAGTCAGCGTACTCAGTATGAGACCTGAAGGTTCTAGGTTTGGTTCCTGGTGGGTGGTCGGTATGTATTGCTGAAGTGTCTCATTTTGGGAGGAAATAAACTTTCAATGTTAGCAGGTTTTGAATGGCTTTCTTGTTGGTGTTATTTCTTGATGAATACCACTTTGAGCTAAGTGAAATTGCCATAAACTTAAAACTGAATAATATTTATACCTTTAGTAGTTTTCAATGTATTATTTTTCTCTGTGAAGTGATCTAGAATGGAAGTTAAGTCTGCAAGCTAGGAATTTTTATGACTGCACCATATGTTATATTCTTGCTCTACTGAAATTCGCTCTTAACCGCCACAACTATATATATTGTTTTGAAAGACTGGTTGATCATATAATACTGTTGCCCAGATTACATCATAAGCACAGATAACTTTAAAAACGTTAGTTAATCAAATTTGTGTCCATTAAATTGAAAATTGGGATTACATAAGATATAATTTGACCAGTTCAATTGGAAAGCTTGTTCAAGAAGATTATTGTTTAAACTGATGGTTTTCGTATAAGGGTAACGAAAACTTGATTGCTTAAAAAAGAAACAAGCAGAATCTGTTCATCATACCATTAAGTGTAAAATATCAAATTAGCTTTCAGATGACTGCTTCGAACTATCACTTAATAGCCAGAGAAATCAAATCTTAAAATTCTTGTCATTGATTCGCCTTTGTTTCACTGCTTTTCAGTCTGTGTAACCCATTAGTATCTCAGTGGTTAAATTCATGTATGAATTCATGAAATCGGTGATTCATCGTTTACTCTACTACTAGACCAGACAGATAAGTTGATTGATGAGGTTATTAACGTAAACTGTCATCTGAGATGGCTTGGACATGTACTGTGCATGTCCAGCCACCAACTATCTTGTTTAGGTTGGAAAAGAGTTCAGGGAGGCCAGACCAAGACGAGGCACTAATCGATTAAATCTGTTCGCTGGTCGTGTTGAGGATTGTAACTGCTTGGTTGGGGTCCTGAGAAGAGAGGAATTAGTAGTTCAGGACTCTTGATGATATGGCTGAAAATCGATCACAATCGCGCAGATGTGTTTAATCCTTGACATCTTCTAAAGCCTGAATATTTATACTAACCCTTATCTTTATCTTCTCACACAACTTTGTGTACTTTGATATCAGTCTTCTTCTCTCCACCTGTTCTTTGTGTACTACTGCAAAGTGTGGCAACTTCAGCCGATGCACATGTGTGCGAGATTCTACGGTGATTTTGTCAGTTTGTCTGTCTGTTAGAGTCAATCGGTGGGTATCTGTGTTTGACTGAGGTTTCCTGCTTGTTGGCGTTTGTAGGAAAGGAGTACCTGTTAGCCCAAAGAAACTGATATCCCCTCATAGATTCAAACCCATATCAGTTAGTGTTGCAGTCAGTGACGTTATCACTGAGATATTCAGGCCACTACTGATCTCCTGTATTTGGGTCTCTTCAATGAACTGCAAACACTGTACATTATATGAAGCAGGCAATCATTATTCTGCACAAGAAGATTGCGTAATTGCAATACTGCATTCAATTTTGAAAGGATATTAACAGAAAAAAATGATATATTGTTTGCTGTTTTAGAAATACAATGGCTTCCTCGTTTTCATTTCCGCAACCAGCTCAGTTATCAATACTATTCGACACAGTTACAAAGCGGATTGAAGAAATGGAGGAATCTTTGAAACAACAGACTCAAGTAAGACACTATTACAGTAGAGATTATCGTTAAACCATATTATGGATAAACTCAGTAATAAGCAGCTATTCAAAGCATATAGTGGGAAAAAAAATAGGATGACAACAGGGAATCCATACTGTATTCATGGTTGACGAACCTCTTAAGCTTCGATCGCAAGAGTTTGAGTTTCTTATCGCCACTATGCCCAATGTGAATGTGTAGTGGAGTAAACAAAATTGTTGTTTGTATGAAGGAGAATAGAAGGATTTAAAAGAATTGAACTATTATTATTTTTTACTGGTTGAAAATCCTTCACATATCCCGAGATGTCGATACGCAGTGTTTGAATAAACTATTTGGTGCTTGAGCATAATAGGCGGGAAAAAGTTCGAATTTGAAAAGTAATACTTTAAAGTCAGTCGGATACATTCCATAATCAAATAACTGACAGTATATATATTAATTCAAAATCATTTACTGTGCATATTACCCTACTGTGTATACAATAGTTACTTGAAGCTAGCAGATAATTCAAACAATTACTTTTACAGTGTACAAGAATAGAAGAAACCCCATATGGTGAAAGATCTTCCACTTGAGTGTGAACAGAGTTGATTACTTGCCTCTTTGTTTGACGAAAGAAATGACTCAGTGACTAAAGTAGTGTAGAATACTAGCAAGTAATAAATCGAATGCAATTAAAGTGGTTAAAAAAGCATTAAACGGAGAACTTCAGGAAAAATGAAATATAAGAAAGAAAGGAAAGAGGCACAACAGTACAAGATATAACAAAAATAAAACAGTGAAGTATACGGCTTGAGTTCGTAATCACGGCTTTCAAGGTTTATGCTAGGTGATATTATAGATGGTACCGGAATCAACAGTCATACAATTTATGGGTTGACAGTTAGATTTCGAAGTAACCACTTTTAGGTTTCTCTAAGCTTATTATACTCCAAATGACATATCGTTTCTACACTAATCACTGATATATTGTGTCATCAGAGTTTTTTCTTTCATCTCATTATCTCATTTCTGCTTATTCATATAGCTCAGAAGTCATAACAATCATTTTTAAAAAGAGGATATTATTAAACAACATGCATTATGTCGTAGGTGGTGGTTATCATTGAAATTCGGGATACATGTTTCGCCCTGCTTGAGACTCATCAGCTGAATGCATTTGGATCCCAGTGAGTTACTGACTAGTTCGTTTCAGTCCAATAACTAATGGAAAACTACAAGAATCGGTATGTAAAAAGTGATACGCGCAATGGTCTAGTGGATAACTTGGTGATGTTTAAGTCGACACATGCTGTGTTCGGGTCTCAGTTGAACACTATCACTAATTGGGATCCAGGTATATCTATCTGAAGAGTCCCAGATAGAATGAAATGAGCGTTCTGAATCCTACCAGTAGTCATCGCAAAACAAGTAACATCAACATGAAACTTGAGGCAGTGCCATGACATTCATTCAACAAACCTATATACCAAGAATAACTGATCAACCCTATCTAGTAGTATAATCATACAGATGAATTTTTAAATTTTGGACTCTTTAACTTTGATAAAAAATATATTTCGAAATTATAGGAGACAAAACTTTGAGTTTACCTGGTAAATTTGAGTTAATCAAGAGAATTTTCAAAAGGTTTACAATCCGTTTCTTTTTGTGTATTTATTGCTCCCTTTCACAACTCTGTGACATTTCACCTAACTCCAGAAGGTTTTAAGTAAATATTTGAGGCCTTTAATTTGTGCACGTTTTGCACTCACTAGTCTTCTATCTTTTGTGAGTTACTCTAAAAGCTACTCTACTTATGTCGAAGATGTTAGATCCTCAAAAATAAACTTTTCATGCTTAAATTTTGCAAATTTGCCTAACAAAAATTTGAATTTCTTCCCGCCTTTTTTGCTGATACATGATCACTTATTTCTATCGAATTCAAGGACGCTTTTTCCTCATTGGTTGATCTTCCGCTTTTAATATGCTAATTAGTCTGTTCGCCTGAAAGATACTCATATTGCATTTAAACACAAGCGTTACTTCCTTAAATGCATACTTTCCCATTAAACTATACTCTTTTCAGTTCATTATTATCTTCTTCCTTCACCAAGTCATCTGGTATCTAGATGATGCTAGCCAGTTAACTGCATCCGAAATTTTCAACAAGCAACGCAGAAATAACCAATTCGGTTTCTTTACTTTGTGATGCACAACCATTCTAACTTTAATGAAGTAACATAATTTAATTCACGAGTTTATATAGTAGCCTTTAATGTCAGTGATCTCTATTAATATATAAAAACTTTGTACCAGTCATTCAAGTCTTTGCCTAGTTTCAGTTAATAAAAAACAATTGAATGGAATGAATTCACTCTATTGGACAAAATTTGTGGTTATACAAAATCACAACTTGGCTTAAATTTATTTGCGCTGAATGCAAATAGTATATATATATACATATAGTGGTCCTGGATTCGATCCATGATGAAGTCATCGGTATGCTCTGCTGATGAGTCCCACACGTGGAAGAAACATCTCTTCACTCCTCCAAGGTTTCTAATGGTTCTTCAAATGATGTCAGTCAGTGATGAATACCATCTCGAAATCAACGAATCGCCGCAAACCTCGAAACTCTATATTAACTTGGCTTGGTTTATTGAGACTTCAGGGAATATGCCCTCTATGATATGCAACTAAACAACATCAGCTAAGTAGAAATCACCATTTAACTTACTTTTTCATTAAAACATGATTCAGTGGGTTCGGTCTTCGGCTTTCCTGCTATTCGCGATTAACGCTTTAAATGTGATAAACCGAGAAACTGGAAAATTTCCGAAAACAATCATTTAAAGAACACAAGAACACTAAGTAAAGTTGATACTTTTGATTGTGATAGACGAAAGTGGTCAAATATTAATTGATGTCTGAGAAAATATTACGGTATGTAAATTTTTCGAGACGAACAAAGTCAAACTAGCTGTTTTAATGATATTTGTGATTTCCCGTTGCTATACAAGGCCGAATCGCCTTACCTCTGTTGACAGATTGGCTCCTACGCGGATGCCTCGATACTGCCGGATATTCATGATGTTATATTGATCTTGATGACCAGCAGAGGAATCTTGGACATGCGTTTCGTCCTATTTGGGACTCGTTAGCCGGATGTACCTGCGCCCCAGTGATATTATTCCCACGGAGGCTCGACCCGAGTGCCCTTCGCACAATAGGTGGTTACGGTGCCCCAGGGGCTTGGTGGGGAACGCTTTTGGCGTCTAAGACGAACAGTATTCCGTTCGAGCATCGGTTAGATGCGGCTAGGTTGATAAATGCATGAAGTCTTTTTTCCATCGGTCTATGGAATGTAGGTAAATGTTGACTTCCCGGTAGAGGTGAAATGACTGATTATTTATGTCAGTGGCCTAGATATGTTTGTATGTTATCTCCGTCTTAACTGTCAAAGGGAATTTCATTAGTGTCTTACTCCTCATCTGCCAAGTTTTCACGAATCTCTACCACTTTTGTTTCCATTTCTTTATCTTCTATCCTGATGCACTCTTGTTTGATAAAGTATGGCAACTTGAACCGCTACACGCTGATGCCAGGTTCGAGGTTGATACTTACTGGCCAACATCTTCTTAGGATTAAAGGTTGCAGTTACTCTTTCAGTGTGGCACTTTTGGTAGGCAAGATTCTTAGATAAACCTGGACGTCATTTAGTGGAAACGTTAGTTGAGAATCAAACACTTGGAAAACTGAGTCAAAGAGGTATGAACATGAAGATGATTGTTCTGCATTAACCGAAAACTTGTTTGCTCAGGATATGAAAGATAATGAGGTTAGTGTTGATTTTGGTGATGAGACGTCCATGAGCAGCTAGCTATCAAAAATCAGAAATTATTCAATAATCATGATCATACACAACTGCGCTGAAAAGATTTCATTTTTAACGCCAGTATATAATCCCTAATTTCGAGGTTTGTGGGGATTTATTCATTTCAAGGTTGAACTCATCATGAATCGACATCAGGTAGACGACCATTAAAAAAGTAGAATAATAGAATAGTTTTTTCATTTTAGTGTATCGGTGTATGTACATGACTTCCCCAGAAATTAAAACTAGGACTGTCAGTTTTTACAGTGAGCATTTTACCATTTAGCCACTGAATCGGAATTCAACGCTCCAAATCTCTCTACTTCTTCATGTTGATTCACGATATAGCGCGACGATCATTCAGTGCGATGGATGAGTATTTCTGTTCACACCCTACTTGGATAACTCTATCATTGACCTGATTTGGAGGCCTCTTCAAGATGGGCTTCCTAAAGTTCTAATGAAATGTTGTGACCTATAGGGTCAGCCATGTAGGATGAAATGACAGATACTCATCGATGGCACTAGATGATCGCTGCACTATATCACGAATTAAGATGAGGAAATGAGGAAACGTCGATCATTAGCTTGCAACTCAGTGGCTAAATGGTGAAGTTCTAATCACAAGACCTGGTGGTTGTAATTTTAATTCCTGACGAAGTCACCAGTAGGCAATGATTAGGAATCCCACACTGACAGGAAACAGATGTGCAATGCCATCATATTCTCAATGTTTCTCTTACTGATATCAGAACTCGATGAATACCAGCACAAAATTGACGCTTACTCTTTTTTTGAATAAATAATTACCTGCATTCAATATTTCAAATAATCTTTCATGATGGATTAAACAAAAACCTATTTTTTGAATATTTCAAATAATCATACTTTATTTGACCTATACTTTACTAAAGATTATTTCAGATTTGGAATCAGAAGTGAACAATTTAAGGGAGGAACGATCAAAGTATAATTCAAATGGCAATCTTTTAAAAGAGCGCATTGTTTATCTCGAACAGTATAGAGCTTCAGACGGTACATTGATTGATGAATTAAGGAGTGAAAGAGACAGGGTAAGATTTTCAATTTGCAAACATTTACAGACAAATAACTTTCTGTTTGACCTAGAGTTCGTCTGTCATTAAGTAAGTTACATGCTTCCCTCACAAAAGCTCTAAAAGGATGGTATACAGAGAAAAGTAGTATAGGTGGTACAATACGAATAAATCAAAATCCACACCAGGCAAGAAAGTAGACGGCAACCGTTAAGAATCTGAGTCAGTGGTTATTACAAGGACACAACCTAACGAGTCTAACAAATGAAGCTATGAAACTTCTTTCGCTACAGTTCCACCACAAACTTAAAGCAAAACTCAAAAGATGGAGTGAAGGCAATCCCATGATGACTGGCGACCCAATATCGGAACTCAGCAACGCATGAGCACAACCGATAGAAATTAGTGATCAGGTATTTCTCTTCAACCAATACGCTCTGACATGTAACTACAAGTGTTACAGGACTTATAAGGAAAATATCAGAGATGAGAAAGCTCCATGGACATTATTGAAAACAAAAGACAAAGGCCGTGTAAACTCCTTAGATAAGTCAACAAATAGTCTACTAGGCTAGCTATATAATAATATAATATCATTTAGTCACAGTTTCTTTCAACTACAGTTCGTTCACACTGACAGCATAAAACAGCATTATCCAACAGCATTTATATCGACTGTGACTGCTAGTTGTTCATTCTCTCACTCAGTATATTAGTATTACAGAGGTTAAGTTCCTCCAAATATCCAACTGACCACTTGATTGCGTCATGTAACTTAATCGATGGTAGAATCACGGAAATCTGCTATCCTGGAGTGAATTTTGTGTGACCTTGAAACGACCAGTAAAAGGGATTAGGTCGTTTCTCATTCTTTTTGCCCTGTCGGGGCCCTGAAAAAATTTGTTGTTTACATTCAGAGCGAAATAATATAGAATTTGCAGCGTTTGAGTTTTAAGGTGTAAGAACTGAATATCTTTCTGCAAAATGGGATCACAAACATTCGTCTTAGTTCAAAAATATTTCTTTAGAAGTGACAGGTAAAATGTATGTTGACCTGAAAATAAAAATGAAGGTTGAAAATCATTGAACGAGTCAGTGAGAGACCGCAAACTTTATAAGTCTCATACATTGTATAAGTGGATAGAGTGATGACAATAATTCAGTTATCAGGAGCTCTAAGTTTAACTACCTGGTTAAGGCGATCCCCAGCAGCGCCTACCCTTGATCCCGCCAATGATTAAACCCTGAACCATAAAGCCTTCAAGCAAACACGTTATCATTCAACCACTACCTTGGAGTCAGCCAGTCTTCGAAAACTTTCATATCGAATTACCTTCTAATAAGTACTTAAACTGCACATCATTTCAAGGAGCTAAATAAAAAATGGGAAGAATACCAGTTCATGATTTGAATGGAATTTTTTGTGGCAAACATTTATTTATCAGTACAACTGTTTGGGATAGCCTTTGTTCGCCAGACTCGTATTACTAGTACAAGGTGAAATGAAAATCTAGGTCGTGACGTGATTCAAACAATCAACCTCCAGGTTACCGACCTAGTGCTCCTTCAAATGAGCCACGAGGACCGACTGCTGACTAGATGTTAATTTCACTCCAGTTGTTGCTAAATGACTTGAATGGTATTGTTTTCCTATTGAATAGTGGCTGTTCTAATCAAACTTATTTAGGGACATTTTTTCAATATCACAGAGTTAAGTGTACATCGTTTTAGCATGGTTAGATATTGCACAAATGTCAGTTGTACTACTGAAATTTAGTTAGTAGCATAAGTATGGACTTACTAATTTGCAAGTCATTTTAAAATTTTCAAATATTCTTCAGGATATTGGATTCAATCTGCATAGATGCACGTTGAGTATAAGAACTTTAGAATCATGAGTATACATGCTCCGTATCAATCACATTTCTGTGTGCATTTGTTCAAAAATGAACATGTATTAAGGGCATGAAAATATACTACCTAAGATATACCTACAGGTGTATTAGAGCTTGAAAATTTAATATAGAGTTGAAATACCTCTTAAAACTCATTGATGCTTGTAATTTCTTACTGATCACTCTATTACAATTGTTGATTTTCATCGGTATACAAGTTCTCTGAATGAAAGATGACTTGCTAGTGCTTTGAATCTCATCTCAATGTTATTTTAGTTGGTGGCAATAAGCAGTGGAAACTGGGATACACGTTTCATTAGAAAACTTTCTCTGAATAGTATTTATAGTCGTAATTGATGATGTACACGATTCATTCTGATTGTGACAGTTATTTATATTACCGGGTGATGATTGGAGGAGAAATGAAAATCTGGGTTGGGCCTGATTCAAACTAGTGGTCTTTGGGTTACCGACTGGCTGCTCTACCAGCTGGGCTACAAGATCTAGCTGCTTACTGACCACATCTTAATTGCACTTCACTCACCGAGAGTCTTGTCTGACTGACGTATGAAGTCGTGATGCGTAACCATTCGTGTATTGTATTCGTACTGGTTCCCTAGCCAAGACTTTTCACCTCAATCCAAGTCGATAGGAAGTGGACTTACTCATGTATTATTATTAACTTGTGTTCACAGAAATTGTGTGCAATTCATAGTCTGTTAAATGATTATTAAAGAGTATTTAGTTTATATGCTCATGAATTTTGTATTTTCCCCTGAGAAACAATATTTTCGTTAATCTAATAACTAAAAGCCACTTCACTGTTTTCAAAGACTATTAGTGTTCTTTTTTAGTAGCGATGAATTTTGACTACACAGCTTTGTATTCAAATAGTTTGTTTTACTGATATCAATGGAGGTTTTTATGACAGATTTCTATTCTGTTTTCTTATATAACCATTTAAACACTGGAAGTACTTAAAACAGCATAATAAAGAAATGTATTGAACACTTTCTTGATATGAGTTAACAGAAACTAAAATAGCGAATTTCTTTACCTTGAAAAAACTTTGGATAGGTGGTAACCTACTAACACTGTGTACAACTCAAAGTTGTTTATGCAAATTGAAAAGAAACATAGAACTTCACTTTTTTGAAGTTAAAATTAACGCATTCCTGGACTTACGTTGCTCTAATCAAATGGTAATCAACAGATACTTGGACACTGACCCAACATATAGCCTACTTAGAAGGGACCAGTCAACTGGAGACCAGTCAAGTAAATCAATCATCAAATATTAGGTCAACAACAAACGTTAAAAGATAACAGTAATTATAAAAGTGAAATTATGATTAAACAGAAGAAAGGATTACCCCATCTACAAGTCGGAACGCTTCACCTCTGTACAAGGTAAATACTGATGAGGCCACCTCACAGTTTGAAGCAGACAAAACACTTATCACAGTTCCACTAAGTTATGAAGTCTTGCAATCAACAACTGCAAAATACATAACTCTGATATTGTCAAGCAACTGCTGCTTTGAATGCGCCTTATTATTTGAATAGCACTGCACCTGCTATATAGAAGTTGGAATACCTGACATCACTTAATATGCAGTAATTTGGCAACTATGATTGTCACTGCGATGAGTCTGAAGACAATAAACTGATCCTTAAACTGAGCTGTACCAAAATAAGGTGAGTTTTTCAGTCCGGTATTCATCACGGATTGATGTCAGCTGGAGAACCACTGAAAACTTGGGGACACTAGATAGTTATTTCGCTCTAGTATGATACTCCTCAGCACTCAATGGTAACGTACTGGCTGCAAAAACTAGAGGCTTTGGCTTCGACACCTGATCAAGTCATGAGCGTCCATCAAGCTGTATGAGGTTTTAATTTTAATTTCTTCAGTCTGTTATAACAACTACGACTTAATATTAATATTACTGTGTGATTATTTATTTTATTCATATTATTGACTTACAGTTGCACTACCATTTATGCAAATTGGCGCAACTTCTCAAAATTGATGAACCTATTGCTGAATTGGGTGCAGAAATTTTAGGAGATACAATAGCCAGTAAGTGGAAATTTTTATGCAGTCTGAACTCATTTTCATGAAATTCATATATACACCAAGATAGTTCCATTAGATTGTAAAAAATTAACAAAAGATGATTCAGTGAAGAAATTTTTTCGTTACGACGAATCAGTTTTTGAAGCTGTACATTCGTATTTATAGCTAGAATAAAAAAATATATTTCCATAAATGGCTAGCTGGTCAGTACAAGGTCATCAAAAATTGTCAATAGTCTCAAGGTGATTAGGGCCAGAAGGTCAAAATTGTTTATAGTATTACAACAGATAAACAAATAAATGTCTTAGGGAGAATATACAAATAGGGTAAAATTAGAGACTGGACTTACCTCTTTTGAACCCAGAGATCAGGTCTGAACTGTTGTGTTCAGGTGGTGAATTGATGCTGTCTTAAAAATGTTTGATTTTACTTCATACATGACTTTGAAGGTAGATCCTCGTGAGTGAAGTCACCAGAGTTAGTCAGGTTCTCAAACATCAAGCTATCAGTCGCTTTAGATTCTTCTTTAGACAGATAGGCAGGATAGTGTATGGATATGCATTTCGTCAATGTATCCTATTACTTCAAAGATTATTACGTAATCGCCCTGTTTTTATCTTGTATTGACCTTTCAGTCATCATTTCGTAATCTTAGAAACAGTTTCTGGTGCTTTTGTGTTGATCTTCTGGCTATAATGACCTAGAGACTACTGAAAATTTTTGTTGACCTTTTATCCACCCATTAGCCATTGATGGAAATATATTTTAGTTACTTTTATAAATATGAACGTACAGCTTCTGAAAGTGATTCATAGGAAGAAAAATTTTCTTGACTGAATTATCGTTTGGTAATTTTTCATGTATGCGTCTAATCATACCATTTCTACAATTCTTTTCATTCTGCAATGCTCATAGTTTTTTTGAATTTCTCCGTAGTCAAACACCACAGATCACTGTTGGTATGCGGAATAACATATTTTTAGAAGCTTATTACTAACTATCTTCAACGCCGTTATATTAAGCGATTCCTCTTTGTTGAAATTATGTTGGATATCTATACGTAATAATGTTCATGATTAGGATCACTACAGTTTATTGTATAAAGTAATAACTTCAGTTGGAGTCAGACAAATATTATTAACCACTTGAGACCAAAAAGAATTTTATTATCACAATTCATGATAAGCTCTGGGCACTTTGATCGTTTTGAATGGAAGTATCGACTGGATGTTAATTGGTTCGAGATAACCGAAAGGAAGCCTTGTTTTATCATGGTTCCGTGCTTGTCGGAACTTGTCAGCAAGACGTATCTGCAACCTTGAAGGAACTGACGTCCCTACGAAACTCGAATCTGTATCATGCAACTTGATGTTACCAGTCAGATATTTGAGCTACGACTGACGTTTACTAGGGCTGGGTTAAACACACTGATTGCAAGGGAAATATGAAGAAGTAAAATGAAATTTACACAAACGAATTATGCAGTGATTGGCGAGAACTCACCTTACTTAGTAACTGTTCTACAACTTCAAAATGGTGGCATTAATTTTACTATCTCATAAAATGTTATACAATCTTACTGCTGCAAATATGTGTACATTTCAAACCACCACAGCTTTAGAATATACATGAGAGCGAATGAAAACCGCCTCTTTTTTCATTCAGATGTTAAATATCAATTTTTGACCTCAGTCATGTGTAAGAATTAAAAGGGAACTCTATTGTCTTGATGGTGGTGGCTAGCAAAGGAATCCACGATGAGCGTTTCGTCCTATTTAAGACTCCACAGCTGGGTGCGCCTGCACCTCAGTGAGTGATGTTTTTTGATGGACACTTGAACCCGGTAGCCATCGCTTCAAGTATCGAAGCACTATCCACCTGGCGACTTGGGGACGGGAGAAACCTCTCGTGTGAAGGGTATTTTACGTTACTAAACAGGGCTGAATTGCTCGATATCTGTTGGCAGGTGGGCCCCTATGCGAATGTGCCGATACTGCGAGGAGAGGGAGGAATATCAGTCACTGGATTGCAGATGCAGCTGACCAACGAGTTCCAAACAGAATGAAATGTATCCCAGATTCCCCTGCTAGTCACCAAGATGAATATAAGTAGTGTGATTTCATTGATATGATTATGAGTAATAATTTATGCTCGGAACGTCATCAAGTAAATAATACTAGATCACTGTATGTTATAAATCAAATAAACAAATTTAATACGGAATTAAATTCTACCACAGTGCCCAAGTTTTACACCTATATTAAAGATGCTGTAGTATCAAGGCATTTGGACGGAAGATCGAGCTATTCAACTCGGTATAGCAAACAAAAATTACAAGTATGAATCGATAATGTATCACCTTACTTTGTGACGCATTAAGTTCTGAATACGAAGATCAATCTCGATGTCAAATATGTTCCGCTAAGTGTGAAATCAAACTTGTTTTTCCCTGTTTGGAAGAATTAATGATGTTTCTAACTACGATGTAGAAAATAAAGTTCCTCTTCTCAACTACATATTACTGAATTCTTTTGACTTTCTTGAAATTATTATTGTTATTTAGCTATTGACAAACCTCGGCGAGTTGCTACTATCATACCAATATTCCGGGTACTCCTTAGTTTATTTACCGACGTCCTCCTCGAAGGGCAATTTTGAGTTCGCATTGGTCGCATCTGGACCAGTCTTATTTTGCTTTTATCCCATTAGAGATCAATGAAGTTTGTGCTACACCTCCTCTGTGTGCTTCTTGTGATTGTCTTATAGAATCGTACTACTGGTATTGCCTTGAGTTCGACTGTCTTAGAGCTCAGGCTCACGATTATGCTAACATTTCTTAGAAAAATTGTTTATTTTACTCCTATTTAAGCAATTTCTATTTCTGTGATTCTCTTTATTTCTACTGATGTAATATTGATTTCCTCGTTGTACATTTTAGTTCGTCTCAGTCAATTGCAACAAGGGGAAACAGAGAAACAGACAAATCAACGCTTACAAATTTCACGTTTACAGCGGGAGCTACGTGAAACGAAAGATAGAGCTGAATCACTTGATTTGCAGGTTGGTGTAATGCGACGTCGATTAGCTGATGCACAAGAGAATAGACATCAAATAGTGACACCAGCGAGTAGTACACCTGTGACACTGGCTACTTCAGAAAAAGAAAGACGACGACTTTTGAAACAATTGGAACAGTTAAAAGAAGTTGAAGAAAATCTACGCCAGGAAGTTGTTATGCTAAAAGCTAGATTGCTAGAATCCAGTCAAACTAAGGTTAGCTAATTTCTCCTCTCATTCTTTAAAAATTACCTACATTAATTGCCTTTTTGTAATCATGTATTCATATTTGTAAGTGGAGTTGTATTTCATCTGAAGAGGCGAACACTAACAAGTTGAATTTTTTGTCGATAGAAAGGTATTACAACTACAAGTCCAAAGTTCATATTACTTCTCGTTTGTTGCATAAAACCTTAATTGGAATCCCTGAATCGTATATTTTAATTGGATGATAATGGAAGTCGAAAAGAAGACTTAGATTTCACCAGAATTCAAAACAGTTATTTTGCTCACGTAAAATATTTACAACACTTGATGTTATTACTGTTGATGGAACCGAAGTATTTTTTCCTACTTATATAATGTCTCTCTCAGAAGTGCTTAAAGTAGACAAAATGATCTGGTATTATGAGATCCAACCGAATTTGATTCTTGAAGTTCAATGAGAATTTGTGACCACTGGGACCAACCAATTCGAACGTGAGGATAGTTACTGAACGATGGCATTGGATGGAAATTGCACTATATCGTTAACTGACAGACCATTAGATTCTAACCCAGTGGATACTGATAGCGTGCTGGTCCTTGACAGAGTCATGGTATGTACTGGTGAGGAGCTACATACTAAAACAAAACAGCTGCGAGTACTTGCAGGTTTCTATAGTGAATGACAACCTGAAATCAATAAAAAAACCTCCAAACTGAACATGTCGATACGACTGTCATTATTTGTACTCTGAACCAGCTGACTAGATTGAATTTTCTTACTTTCTAAAGTCCTTTAAATTCTCAATAAGTTGACCTTCAAAGTTTCCCCTTGAATCAGACTTGATTCATCTATGTAACGTAGTGAAAGACTGTAGGTTATTCAAGTGCATTCGTACTGAAGGATTTAAAAATCTAATGCTAATTAGATCATAAAATGAATAGAGGAAACCTCAGTGATACTACGCAAGAAAATGAATCTAAACATAACGCGATGAGAACTATTTTATACACGATTATTTATACTTTGGTGCATTTCAAAATAGATTTTCATCATGAGGGATACAGTATTATTATATTTTTAAGGAATCTGTGTTAGTGTAAAAATTTCTCTTTTCCAGGGTTGTTTCAACTCGGTGTACTGGATTGTGATACTGACTGTTATTCATATTCGATTTGTTTATTTGATATAGCATACAGTGTTACCTTAAGATTTAATGTAGAATATTTTTAACCCAGGAGGATGACTTTAATGGTGTTGTGATCTGTGAGCTGAATGTTTTAATCATGAAGCTTTCATTGTCATTCTAGACAACATCAGTAGCAGAAATTTCAGAAAAACGTGAGCTTTATGATAGAGAAAACCCTATAGCTCACTTTGTTCTGAAGTTTTCGCTGTTGACAAGGAAAGCTTGATTATTAAATCATCCAGCTCAGAGAACACAACACTATTCAAAACAGTATAACTTAACTGATGACGACTTGGGTATGCAGTATTGCTCATAATTATTGATTGGTTACGCGAGAGCAACCAGTTTCATATCGTCTTACTCTAAGTGCAGATCGGATTCCAGCGATCATATTTGCAGTGTGGCCGCAAAGCTGGGAGGCTCAGCACTAGGGTGCACATTGGTGGATGCTGGTTAGTTAGGCTCCCTGCCAGTGCCTCCAACCAAGTAACGTACTCGTAATCGTGTTAATGTAATTACACCACGCTGAATCTTAATATTATAGTCCCATCACTTCTTATTCTTTGTCCTTAGTGGTGTTGCGTCATTCCTATTTCATGTAAATAACCTCCATCTCCCCATAGCTATGTTAGACTGAAGTGCAATACGGTCAAAAGCTGCGTAATGACACTGATATGATCATGAGCGATAAATCATGTTCGAAACGTTGTCAAGTACGTAATACTACAGGGACCAACACACTTCAACAGGTATCTACGCTTTAGGTCACCCTATCCAGTACCGGTGAAAATGGTTTCAGTCAAATGTTTAAATAAAGGAGATACCAGCAATTAATAATTATCCTCTAGAGTCAATTAATAACTTTGTAAGAACACAAAGAAAAGGAGTCATGATAGTGATATGAATTTGACTGATAACAATGACTCAAGTAAAGAGTTCAAAAACTCTGTTGTTACCATAAGAGGAAGAAACATGGGAAACTTTAGGTAGGCTTCTCAACAAGGCTATAATTAGGTTGACATTGCAACCTACAAACCCGTTCAGAGGTAAATTTCTCAGCTTATGGATCAAACAGACCCAACCAAGCAAAATAATCTAATCTATCAAAGTTCATGGAATGACCGTGACGTCAAACTGGGAGATTGTCGGAAATGGAAATTTAGCCAAATATAGAATGATAGACCCCAGCAGAACCAATAATATGGTAAAAATCCCTCAGCTTTGTAACGCATGCATTAACACACAACCACTCAATGCGTTGGGATAAAACCACTGTACATAAGTCCAATGTAATTAGGTGGAGAGACTCGTTGTCTAACCTTTGTTCATCGAATCTACACCTAACACGTATAATAAAATGATCCAACACGTATACCAGAGATGTGGAAAATTTTGCTACCACTAAAGACAAAGAATTCGAAGTGAATCAAATGTTGAAAGCTGTATGATCCCATTGATAATGACTGTGAGTAATATTTCATGTTCAAGACATCATCAGTTAAGCAATACTCTATTACTGTATACCATATTAAATAAACAAATCTAATTTGGGATTACGTTCTACCATAGTGTCCAATATTTACACTTGTATTAATGACTATTACTACTAACTGAAAAACAATAGCGTTACATTGAATGGTTACTAAAGTACAACTAATTTCACTTTGTCTAGACCTGAGCATTGAGTTGGACTACTTTTGACTTCGGTACTTCACAACTAAAGTTTTTCATGTAAGTAGTAAGCTAGTGACGAAGTATTGCATGATTTCAGATGTAAACTTCATTGATGAACAAAAAAAATATAATTTAGTCAATATTTGTGACACGAAAGTATCAAGGATAGGGAACTATCTTTCTGAAATTATAAAATAGGGAAGCTCTTAAGGCAAACCCCTTATTATTGTTCAGCATTTTAACCAGTGTGTTATTTGTTAGTTATATTGTAAAACGCTATGAAATGAATATTTATATACAAGTTACTGTTTAATCAAACCAGCATGGCACAGAGTGTGTTATTGTACTTTGAAATATGATAAAGTGCGAACAAGATTAATGAAGGACGGGTAGAAAAGTATGAAGGAAAAGAAGTTGAAACCTTTATAGTGTGGGAACAATAAAATGCTCAATTTCTCAGATAAAAATATTTTAAAATACCTAAATCTGTAGAATAAATCTCATGTCATATCATATAAGATTATCAATAATTTGTCTGTCATATGAAGCTTAAAATGATCAAATTTATTACCAGTTACACTGAACCATCTATTTCAACTTTCTCTACCGCGGTTTTCTAGATCTCCCCAGTTTCCCAGGTAGACCAAACGTAACCGACCAAAGACCAGCTTTTAATTAGGTGTGTATGCACGAAAATGGTGTACACAACAGACTATACACTCTTACTAACGCAGAAGACCTCAAAGTACCCTTACCTTCTTAGAAAGGACGGCAGAAAGTGCCCAACTTGTGTTATCCCAAATTGGGCAGGCAGTATCTTGTACTTACCACTCAGCTAATATTAGCGATCATTTGTCCATGCTATGTGAGGTTTACACTCGTTAAATTTACTATCACTTTCATTGATCTATCTATAACTTTTTCTCCGTGAAACCTGGGTTCGATCCTTGACGGGGTCGTGGGTGAGTATTGCTAAAGAGTCCCATACCAGGAAGAAACAGCTGTCCAGTGCTGCCAGTTTTCGACTGTTCTCCAAATGATTTCAGTCTATGATCAATACTACCTTAAAAATAAATTCCCATCAACCTGAAACTAAATGTGTATATTCGACTGTTTTGTACTAAAAGTTGTGTATTTTAATGAATACAACAACAACTGATCATTCCCGTCTGAAACTAATGAATTTACTGAGTAATTCATAAAGTTTACCTGTTCTATATGACAGAGACAAATAGAAAAGAGTAGAATCCAAATTAGTTCATATTAAGCAATGTTTAATTAACTCATGAACCCTTCTGCCCTTAAAAATGGGTAACTAGTGAACAGTTAACTGTAAATTAAATTCAACCATATGATTTCAGTTACTCTCCAGGAACCGACTGACGCATGCACTACAGCCCTACAGAAGATCACTGGTGTCCCGAATAGTCAAGTAGTAACATTGCTGAATGCAGCAATGAGTGATACAGGTTCGAATCTTAAAGGGAACATTAATTTCCTCAAAATTGTAAATGTGCCTTGCTGACGAGTCCCAACAAGCTAGAAACCCCAGTCAAACAGAGCTACCTATCGATTGCATCCAGCTCAATAATATCAATCAAAGTGCATCATGATATTGGTTTTCTTAGGTTGGTGACCACACTGCAAAGTAATCAACAGAATTCGATCAGTGAGAAAAAATAGGTGGTATGAAATAGGTTACTCTCCTACAGTGACCAGTCAGCAGTATTTGCTTTTCATGAAACTTCGCGACACTTTTAAGTCCCAGCAAACAATCATTTGGAAGCAATGGACCTAGACAGACAGAAGAAATCAACCCAAAACCTTGCACACAAATACCTTGGTTCAAGTTGCCACACTTCAAATTGCTATACAAAGAACAAGTGGATAGAAAAAAGGTGATATCAGAGTAAACAATGTTGTGTGAGATAATAAACCATCTAAAGATAAAGGTGAGTTAGCGTGAATATTTAAGGTTTAGAAGACGTCAAGGATTGAATACATCCGCGCCATTGACATTGGTTTACGGCTTTGTCACCAACAGTCTTCAACTACTGATACCTATCGTCCCGGGGACCCAAGCCAGGGGGTCTACATGGACCACACCAGCAGTCAACAAATTCACGCACTAGTGCCACGTCTTGGTCCAGCCAACGTGAACTCTCTTCCAACCTAATTCAACCCCCCTAGCATGACACATCGAGGTAGGCGGTGGCTCGGGATGAGCAGTACATATTCAGGCCATCTCAGTCAACTAAGGTTCACAACCTCATTTAATTGACTTGCCTGACTTGTCTAGTACCTGATTTTAACATTGCTAATACGACGATTCCATCGAACGCGAGCAGCGCTGCGGAGACACCTGTGACCGAAAACCTGTAACCACTTCTCATCGTTTGCTTTCAACGGCCATGTCTCAGCCGTATAACAGGACAAGACGCTCCGTAGTGCAGTATACTCGTTGTCTAATAGGTAGTAGGATATCTCGCCATCTGATGCCAGAAACGACACAGGTTGGCAACTGCCAAACGTGACTTTCGTATTCAAACTGGGATTTCGTCAGCAACCAACCCGTTCGGGCTGATGCAACTCCCCAAGTAAGTGAAGTGGTTGACGCATTCCACCATCTTACTCCTCATCATCAAACTGAGAGTATTTGCAGATCATCCCAGAGCACAATTTGGCATTTGACAAGCATGAGACGCATGCCGAACATACTCAGATTTCTGTTCAACGCGTTCTGAAGACCCTGCATTTTGTCAGCGTCTGAAAAAATAAGAGATGGAATTCGGTTCCTATTTAATACAAGGTGGAATAAAGCTGGTCATATTTCAGTGACTAATCGATATGTACTTTCCTGATAAACTTTCTTATTCGCAATGACAAGAATACCTTAATAACTTTAACTCTGAGTTCTAATAGATGAAAGGTATGGAACATTTTATTTTACTCATAATGCAAAGTAGCTATTGTAAGCAATGCTCAGACTCTACGAGCTTTAATTAAGATAGCATTTTACATTGAACTAAAAAATGAATGCTCAATATTCTTCTAAGTGTTTGTAGTTAACTGAGTACTGCAATTGCAAAAAATAATTTCTCATGGATGATAACGTAATAAAAGATATTTTTTCCCTATTCAAACAAGCAATAAACCTTATCGAAGAAGGATTTATTGAATTCATAAATTTCAGTAGGATTGGTCGGCTTACTACTCTAAATACATGATTTTATGTACTGTTGTGCAATAGTGGAATACATACACAGATAATACAGACCAAGACGTAGAATGATGCATGAGAGCATAGGGTGAATAATTTAACTGGAATGATGTAACAATAGGGAAAAGATAGAATCCCACTCAGTGACATATCAAACTGCATATACCAATTCGAATGTACTTATAGAAAAAAATACATAGATCATGCGGAAAGGCGTCTGTCTACTCGCATGACCAAGCATTTACCTAAATGGTGAAGGCATGGTGGATTTAAAATCTCAAGGAGTTTTATTACGAAACATCTAGTAGATTACCAACATGACACTGACGGTACTATAGGCTTCTCAGTTGTCAGCAGATAGCGAAATAAGAAAAATGCTTGCGATTTTGGAAGTATGAGCGATTATTGTTCATAAACTGAGCCTCTGTATACAGAAAGAGATGGTAATCACCTTAGATCGTCCATGGCAGAGGTTCTGAAGTATTGTGAAATTATTTATTTTTTATTAGTGTTTTGTTTTGCCATTTTATCTCTTCGTCTGCTTAGCATATTTACCACTTCATTATCATTATTCTGTCGCACTACCATTTCATCTTGAACTTCTTCGCTAATGGTCAAATGACTTATCTCCTTCGCCATTATCATCACTTCTATCGACCAACTGGTACTTTACTCTTCTCCATATTTACGCTTCTTAAATGATGTTCATTTACCCTGTTCAAAACGACGTGATTTTTGATCTTTTCACCACCCATATTTACATCGTTAATCTTATCATTATTGTAATCATAATTTCGTTTACTTGACACTTATCTTTCCTACGTTGCACACTCTTATAAAACTACCTAGTTGAATATTAACTGTTCTGTTTAAAATGATGTATGAAATACACCCATCAACATATGAAAGAAGAACAAGTATATTTCAACGAAGAGTTCCTCTTCAGCGATTTCATTTTCAAAGCTGCACAATCGCAAATTTACACATTTTTCTGATGTAAGGATTTAATAGTTTAAAACGGTTTGTCAAGCATGGTAACACAGTGCCAATCATGTGGACTGTCATTTAAATCATAAGACTGAAAACTGATGAGTATTATTATTATTTTTTCCCCTTGAGTTCCTAGTAGAACATAGGGCTTTAGTAGCGTGCCTCCATTGCACTCTCTTCTCTGCAGTCATCTTAACCTGGCACCTCGGCTTCCCACAAACTTTCATTTCTTCGTCACATGATGTCCTCCATGTCACCCTCGCCGTGGACGCCCATCTCATTGTTTCCCCTTTGGATCCTACTGGAGGGCCTGGCACGTGATGTCCCCAGTCAGCCTTCTCAGTATATGCCCAATCCGTCTCCACTTTCTTGAATCTTGCTGTCATGATCTTACAGGAGGAGATTCCTTCCCACTGCATGAGATCCTTCAATGCTGTTGGGGACACTATGATAGCCACTGGAAAACTCAGTGTGCTCCTGGTTGTCGTCTGGGTGACAATATCGGAGTAGATTATTGACTCTACAGTTGACAGTTTGAAGAGTCCACTTCCATTCCATTCCATTCCATCTGCTCTCGCAGATTCCTAGCACTTCTATGCTATACATTCTCATCTCTCTCGCAATCGGGACAGCCTTGGTAGGTTCATATATCGCTCGGACATTCCATGTCTTCATCCTTAATTTCGCTTTCATCGAGAGAAGATACATCGGCTGATTGGCTTCTTTAAGGCTTTCAGTAACCGGAGTCATTTCGCCTCTCCGATTCCAGTGAGGAATAAGTTTATTTTTGTTTTTTATATTTACTTCATGCTTTGAAGTTTCTTTAGCAATCGGATTGGTAGTGAATATTAATGAAGATAAGTCTAGACAAGAAGTTTGGTAACATGATGACATAACTGGAAACTGAATTGTGATCAGGAAGAGTATAGTGATAAATTACTTAAGAATTGAATAGTGTTAAAACCGAAAAATAAAGAGAAAAGGTGGAAATGGAAGGGGATAGAGGAGACTAAAAACGAAAGCCATGAAATGAGGAGTTTAACAATCTTCTTTTATGTACATAGTTCAGGTTTCTCTATATGGATGACAAGAACTTCGGTGATGCATAGGATACACAGACATACATCCTTTGGGAGGTTTCTTTACACTTTATAGATGACTTTAAACGAGGAGGTTTTTAATATAGAGTGATTTGTGTTCCCGATGTGTCCTCCACTGCATAACAGTATATAAAAACCATGTATGTCGAATGGCAAGCAGATGAGTCCTGTTGAAATTCATCAATCGAATAAATCCTATTTTATCAATGTTTTTTGCTTGTTTTAGAAAATGTAATACTCTTGAGTTTATTCTAAGAAATTGTATCATATTTTTTCACTTTATTTACAATGACTTCCTATATTATCATGTCGAAGATGATTTTCCACTTGTATTTTTGTGAAAAATATTCTTTTAGCTTGCTCAAATGAGTATATCAAAAGCATTACGTGTTGCTCAAAATAAAATTGATGAATTAGGCTTGATATGTGAAAAACGTGATAATGAGATTAAAAAATTATCTGAAGAATTGAATGATTGTAAAAAGGAATCAAATATAGAATTAGAAAATCAAAATGAAGAATTAATAAAATTACGTGAAGAAGTGAAATATTTGCAAACTTCACTAAATACTAGTCAAAAATCTGAAGAACATGTAAGTAATGCTCTACTGATATCATTCACAGTAGTATACTTAAGTACACACAATAATTTAATGATAATCACTTACTATTAATTTATATTAACGAATTTAGCTAAAAATGACTATATGATATCAATACTTTCTAAAGTTCAATATATTTCATGGAAGAACTGTGTATAAGTGGTTTGAATAGGGCATAAAATGAGCGGAAATGAATGAAATCATCCCTTCTAAACAAATATATTTCAAGTTATTACCTTTAACGTTTCTGCAACATTGTGATTAGTTCACTTCGGCAATAAAGTTTGAAGTTATTCCATGTTTAAAATGTTTTCTTTCCTCCAAAAAAATCTCGATCAAAGTGTTCGAAGCGATTGGTTTCAGGTTCGATTCCTAGTGAGAACAATATAACTCACTGCGGCCAAGGTACATCTAACTAACGAGTGCCAAATGGGACGAAACGCATATCTTAGATCCTATTGTTAGCCACAAATAAGTCGCTTGTTTTGTAGATCATAGTTTTCGATTGATGTATAGTTGGTTGCTATTCATTCGAAATGATATGCTCAAATTTACCATTTATATACAGTGGTGTTATTTTTTCTTGGTGTAAACTGCTTCGGATAAACAAGATTGATTTGAATGTTTTGACAGTTTGATAGATTTCCCGAGATTCTTCTTGCGACTTGACTATAGAAACATGAACGCCATAATACCAAATGTTTGACAATGAAATACTCCGGTCTCTTGATTTCCAAAAAGTCGTTTAATTATAACATGCCAACGAACTTACCGAGAATCTATCGCCCAACGAATATGAAGAAGAAAGTTGAGATGGATTGGATTGGACACAGACTGAGAAGACTATTCGGGGACATTAGGCGCCACGCCAGGCTCTCGAGTAGAACCCAAAGGGGAAACGACGAGTTGGGCATCCGAGGGTGACACAGAGGAGATGGTATGAAGAAGAAATGAAAGCTTCTAGGCAGTTGTGAAACCAGGTTAATATGACTGCCGAGAAGACAGCGAAATGGAGACGTGCAAATGAAGCTCTATGTTCCACTAGGAACCCAATATATAATGATAATATAATAATTGGATATATAATATATATTTGATGGTCCTAGATTCAATCCATGGTGAAGTCATCGGTATGCTCTGCTGATGAGTCCCACACGTGGAAGAAACATCTCTTCACTCCTCCAAGGTTTCTAATGGTTCTCCAAATGATGTCAGTCAGTGATGAATGCCATCTCGAAATCAACGAATCACCACAAACCTTGAAACTCTATATATTAACTTGGCTTAGTTTATTGAAATTTAAGGGAATATGCTTTATGATATGATTTATAAAAGTGAACTTTAGTAATATAACTTATGCATATATGTCTCTGTATATTTTCATTTCATAAAGCTTCTTGAATTTCGTAAACTTGTTGCAATCTATCTTGGATTAGATAATGAGCGACTGACAGTTCCAGATTATGAAATATTAACACATTTGGATAGACTGATTTCAGCCAATCAATCTCATGTTGCTAATGCTGTGGCAACAGAAAGAGCAATTGATTTAGTAACCGGTAATAACAGATCTAGTAAGTATATATTACTATATAATAATCAATAAAAGTGATGACGCCTGTTAATAGCTTCAATGAAGATTTGAGTGAGCTTAGTGCAGTGATAAGATTACAATAACCTATAAAGAAAAAAATCCTGAATTTTGAATTGCACCATATTTTTATATTGCTTTGAGAAAGTTGTTTATGATATTATCTGTAAATAAGCGTTTTAATAAGCTATTCTCACAATATAACTGGAGTGCGGTACACATGAAAAAGTAAAGTAACTCATTTCTACATCAAGAGTAATATTTATGATCCGAAAAACGCCAAGTTTGTATAGTGATTCAAATGGGTGTGTTTTTAGGAGCCATGATATGTTTCGGTACCTAAACACGTAACAATAATACTTTTAGTTGCAAAAACTGTGTAAACCAGTAGAAAAGTGAGAGGAAGAGACCTAAATGGAAATAAGCATTCCAAGTCATCACCCGTTAAGGTAGAAGTTTTGAATTTCAACCTTGGTTTCATGTTACTGCGTGGTCAGGAAAAATCTTATTGGACAATTTTGTCCGACAGCTGACTAGTCAAAATAAATATTCAACTTCTGACCTAGTGGTTTTATATGTTGTTGAAGACTGCATATAAATGATGTGTTTTTTATCGAACAAAGTGTCTTCCTTACAGCCACAGGATGATCTTTGCCTTCTGCTTTTCACAGTTCCATCAAGTATATGATTCTGAGGGAGAATGGTCACTCTTCGTATCCACTCAAGCTGTTTCATTGCGTTAGTGGCGTTCTCGTATTTCGTATTGTTCTGCCAGTCACTTTGACAAGATTTTCAGGATTCTGCCCAATAGACTTATTTTTATCGATACTATTTCCTGCTCAGGAGTCCCTCACCTTGGCGAAACAGCTCTCCAGTGCCATCAACCCATATACGTGTTTGATGACTACTACCTTGAAATCAATCAATGACTTACTCGAAGATGGATTTTCTGAAGTTCTGTTGAGTTGTGACCTATGGGGTCAACTAGATCGAGCGTCAAGAGGAATACTCTCCAATAGCACTGGGTAGTAGCTGTGCTTTGTCGTCTGTGAACTGATATGCTAAAGTGGATGAATGATAATGTGCTAGCCGTGAGAAATTGAGACACAAGGTTCGATCCTTGGCAGCGTTGTGAGTACGAATCTCAGAGGAATCGCAGACCAGGAAGACACAGCTTTTCCCCATTCCATATAAGGCTACTGAGTAGTAATCATCCCACATCTAACAATACACACTGAATACCTCAAATTTATTTGCTACCAATGTGTTTCAATTTACCAATATTTCTCTGACAGAAAAGGTGTGTCTTTTTGTATAATTCATTGATCCTAACCATTCAAATGTTGACACACTCACTGGTTGTACATTCAATGGAAAAGCAGGATAATAAATTGACTGTTGAATTCATCTTGCTGACTGTTTCATGTTTTAAAGGTGGTATTCCTCAGGGACTGAAGTCAGATGAAGAAGCATTGAAGAACTGGCAGGACTGGGTAGTAGCTGTTTCCTCCTAGCATGGGACTTCTCACCACCACGCTATACCACAAACTAACAGGAGCATAAAAATGTGGACCACTGGGTTCTGATCCAGTAGCTCAAAGATAGCGTGCTTACCACGAAATCTGAAAGTCCTGGGTTGGACGTTTGATGGAAGCATGGGTACACACTGTTGAGGAATCACATACTCGGATTTACGTGGTAGCTGTTCAATGATCCCAGGTTTTCAGTGGTTTTCCAGATGACGTTAGTCTGTAATGAATACAACCTTGAAATATTCATATGTTTTTCTTACTTAGATTGTGTGCTTTTTTCTTGTCCACACACACACTTTATACTGTTCAGGACTATATACGATCAATACCGTATGTGAAAAACACCTCGTTTAGGTCACTAAGTAACATTTGTAACATAACTGGTATGTACCTAAAAATTTGCTCAACTGCCCAACTGTTGTGTCAACAGGGTATACGCTGGAATCCACTCCTCCAGCCGACGTCACAAAAGTGTTGCAAACTATCGAAATGTACCACTGAACAAAGCGAGTGGTTAGGAACCACTCAAGCTCACTAGATCGTAGTGATCTAAGCCACTGAACAGCCCTTTAGCTCACTTATGGTCGAGCTCATTAGCTGTGTACTCGGACGAGTTAAGCTCATACAGTCAAACTAATTCTTCAAATGACCCCAGAAAAGTAATCAGTATGGTGTTTATCCATTCAATCAAAATGAAACTTTATCGGACAAGAATCTAAGCATAAAATGTTTCATCATCGTAGTAACTTTCATGTTGATCTTCAAAAGAGTAATTTTTTATTTATTTGAAAATTGTTTGCTTTTCAAAACATTCATTATTGCCTATCTTGCTTATTATTTGTTTGAATTAGTTGAAGAAACACAGATGACGATTACACTGAACCTAAAGCGTCATGCTATGATCTCCTACTACTTGTTTGTGCCACTGTCAGGTAGTTTCATGGTGATGTTCCGTTTACAAGTCACCTGTAATCTTGCCCACGCTGAAATAAGTAGTTCATTTAGCTATAGAGGGTAAGAAGCGCCGGTATAAATTGACAGGCAGAACTTCCATATGTTGTATGACTATAAGAACTTTGAAATCCCCGTATATTTTAATAAATATATCAGGGAGTAAAACCACAACACAACTAAACAATTTTAGTACATCCACACAGGAGCCTGTATGCCAAAAGAACCCGATCATTTCAGTTTGCTATAACGTAAAGATACCAGGAAATAGTAATTGTTACTTTTTTGGACAAGAAATGATACTCATGGCTCAGTAGCCAAGTGAATAACGTTTCAACATTTGAATCGATGATTGCTTGGTTCAAGTTTCAGTGGGGATAACATCACTACCTAGGACTCAGGTACATCTGGTTGACAAGCCTCAAATAAGACGAAACTTACATCCTCCATTCTACTTTTATTGACCATCAACTAAATTATATTTTTTAACGACTGATTCTTGAAGGTAAAGTACTATTAATTTGCATAATTCAATATTCACACTAGTAATGGATAAAGATGTGAGAAAAGTCTAAAATATTTGTAACTTAGGTGGATGATCTTGGTTGTATTGTGTTCTCTAAGCCATAGAACACAACACAACCAAAGTCTGAATTATAATTTCAATCATTTATGTCCGTATACATATAAGCTTTAGTATAAATCAAAGGCATAGAACCCTATTAGACATTAAGAATAGTAAATAATTACAACTTGAGAGTTCACTTTAGTTCTGAGTTACAACCAAACTCATTTTTTATCTAAATTAAGTAAATTACAGCCTAATCACAACATTTTTTACTTATATTTCAGATGTTATGAGTCAATTTAGTCGATGAAACAATCAGAAAGGACCCCTTTTTTATAAATGAACGCTTTCCAGATGCATTTTTTATGATAAAATGCCAACAAATAAACAGTGATATAATCCTTACTATTATTTTAAGGATATAAAAGTGTACATGAAATTAAATTATGATAATCATGAATAAATCTGTTGAAACCTGTTTCTTTGAAACATACATTTGGTAACAAGTAAATGCAAATTTTAAAAACAGCTTTTGAGTATATATGTTGAAAGAACTATAATAAGTAATATGAATCATAAGCGACTATTTAAACGTCTAAATATTCTGAAAGACTTGTTTTTACCTTTCATGAAGTGGGTTTGATGAACTTTTTTCAAAGGAAACCTTGGTCAAATAGGGATTCGAACCACTGACCTCTTCGTTTACGACATGGAACTATTCACACTGAGCTATGAAAACTCAACAGACAATTAGTTATGAACTTATGGTTTGAATTCTGTCACGATCCATTCCCTTTTCACACAAGGACCAGTTTGAAAACTAAAACTCTGCCACGTAGACTGTGTTACTTTTATTTTTACACCTAAGATGTATAGCATGATAGGATAGGATACACAACTTCAAACTGTGTCAATGGAAAGTGGAAATCAGTTTAAGGATACATCGTGTATGCAAAGCTCATTTGTAATCTGCATTTCATTGCGTAGACAGTAAAAAAAGTCATGCTGAATATATATATATATATATATATATATATATATATATATATATATATATATATATATTTATGCTGATACTTCAGTAATCTTTCATTTACTCAGTAGAGACAAAAGAAATTCTGCGTCGACCTTTAGTTCAACTGATTATTTTATTTTGTTAGTCTAACAGAAATAAAATTATCCCTTAACAATCAGAACTATGAAGGTGTTAATAAACTTTGAAGCACAGAGTAACAACAAACATTAAGGAAAAGTGATGTGTCCGCATATCGCCTTAACATTTCTTATTATATTGCAATAGTACATAAAATTATTGGTGTCAGTTACAGGATACTGTATCATTATCCCGAGACAAAAAATAGTATATCTGCCTAAACATCTTGCTTAAGGTATTGTGAATACATTAAATACTTGAAGGTGATTCTTACAGATCCTACAAAAAATTTTTGTATCTTTTAACATGTCTAATAAATCATTACAATATAAAGAGGAAAGTGTTATCCGTATCATTTCTAAGCATCGGTGAGTTGATAGTTTATTTCAGCAATAATTTCACCATTCTTATTTCCTTGAAGAACCAGTGGATTCGAAACCTAATTCAAACAATGACATTTGTGTTAATCTCAAGTGTAAGACTCTTATCTTTTGAAAATTATTGTGTAAGTATTCTTACACAACACTGTTTACAACTGCCTTCGAATCTCGTAAAAAAAATTAACGGAATGATCCTGTTTCTCTGAGAATTCAACCAATTACACATCAGTTAATTCTGTCTTCAATTCCCCATGGTAACACTAATGAAGGAAGATGATTATTGCTCAACTCTCTAAGTACAGCTTGATGGAATAGAGTTTTACCGTTGCACAAACCAAAACTGTTGTGTGCAGTTTACGCAGGTTGACATTTTTTGTGCCATTTTTGTAAGAGTGGCTCTACAAGCCATCCTAAAAACTGCTGGATAACTAATTAGCTTTATTATTTTATGAAAACTCAATCTTTCTAGTCGAAATCAAAAAATGTTATTAGTTATTTCCTCAGTTACTAAGATGGAGAAGTTTCTAATCTGTACAAACAAGGATTAAAACTCCTTTACTCACACAGGAAGAACAAGAATTGTAATTTCAGCTCCTATGCACACACAATGCAAAAGTTCCTAGCAGTTACAAACAATTCAATCAGCCTCAGTCGTACGATAATAAACGCTTGTACTTAGGAAAGAATGGTTTTGTTAGCGTATTTCCAGTAGCCTTTATAGCGATAACTATATGGTTAAGAAACCTCTCCTGGTTAACAAGTACACTAGTTACTAGCCTGTCCTAAGCCCCGAGAAGGAGGGAAGGTTAGGCATAGGGTTAGCAACCCTACACCGGAAAACCAATCCAATCGCTAAAGAAACTTCAAAGCACGAAGTAAATATAAAAAACAAAAATAAACTTATTCCTCACTGGAATCGGAGAGGCGAAATGACTCCGGTTACTGAAAGCCTTAAAGAAGCCAGTCAGCCGATGTATCTTCTCTCGATGAAAGCGAAATTAAGGATGAAGACATGGAATGTCCGAGCGATATATGAACCTACCAAGGCTGTCCAGATTGCGAGAGAGATGAGAATGTATAGCATAGAAGTGCTAGGAATCTGCGAGAGCAGATGGAATGGAATGGAATGGAAGTGGACTCTTCAAACTGTCAACTGGAGAGTCAATAATCTACTCCGATATTGTCACCCAGACGACAACCAGGAGCACACTGAGTTTTCCAGTGGCTATCATAGTGTCCCCAACAGCATTGAAGGATCTCATGCAGTGGGAAGGAACCTCCTCCTGTAAGATCATGACAGCAAGATTCAAATTGAAAGGAAGAAAGGTCACAATCATAAGATGCTACGCTATGCACCTACGAATAATGCAGATCAAAAGAAGGAGGAATTCTACAGACAACTGCAATCAGTACTGGACAAGACCCCATCCAGTATGGCGACATCAAACTCTAATGGTGACATGAATGCCAAACTGGGAGCGGACAACACAGAGAGAAAACTCATCATGGGTCGAGAGGCACTCGGTGATGTGAGCTAGAATGGAGAAGTGTTTGAAGACTTCTGTGCATTCAACGATTTGGTGACTGAAGGCAAAGTATACGAACACAAAAATATTCACAAAGTGAGATGGATTTGATTTCACCAGTGAACACATTACATTAAAATTAGACCGACTCATCTCATTGTGAAGAAAGTGGAGATGCAGCAAGCCTACTGGACACAAGATCAGATGAAGAAGGGGAGCAGATGTAGGTTCACGCCATATACTATCTAGTGCAAGAAACTACCTTCAAAATCAAGTTGAAAGCCTTCAAGGAAATTGGTGATAGGCGACCACAGTTCAAGTTGAACACCGAGAACACAAACTGAAGGACGAAACTACAAAGGACATCTTCACGTCATTCAGCCATCAGGACAAAATAGAAGATATTGAGGAAAATCCCTAAAGAAACCTGTGTGGAAGACCACTGGAATCTTTGAAAGCTACGTGGAAATAAACCTGCATAACCGTATAAGGAAGAAAGAAGAAGGAAGATGGGGAATGGATCTTGACGGACACATGGGGCTACCAGAGAAGTGAGAGGAAAGTGGTGAAGCAGAAGATGAACCAGTGCAGTGTAGTGATGGGATGAACAACGAAAAGAAAAACTGAACACAACCTATAAAACAGTGGACAAAGAAGTGAAGAAGAGTGCCCGTAAACATAAAAGACACTTCTACAACACACTGTGACTGAAGCAGAACTGGCTGCTGGTAGAAGAAACCTGAATACATCATATCAAATAACCAGGCTACTGTCTGGAAGTGATCAGGTCAGATGAAACCAATGAAAGATAGTGAAGGAAACCTAGTTACCGCTAAAGAGAGAAAAAAAGGGAACGATGGGGTGACCACTTCAAAATACTCTTGAATCGACCAACACCTGCAACTCTCCAGAAATACCAGCAGCAACCACAGAATTACCAGTAAACACAAGCCCTCCGACAAAAGCAGAAGAGAAGTCCTGAACGTTATAAAGCTGCTGAAATCCGGGAAAGCAGCAGGACCAGATGGAATTCCACCAGAAGCACTGAAAACAGACGCACAGATAATGGTGGGCATGCTCACAAACTACTGTAGAAGGTTTGGAAGGAAGAAAGATACCTGCCGGTTGATTGTAAGAAGAGCTACCTTGTCAAACTCCCAAAGAATGGCGACTAAGTGTTTGCATTAACTGGGCCATATCATGCTCCTGTCTCTGTCCACCCCAAGTAAAATATTGGGCCGCATTATACTGAGGAGATTAAAAGGTGCTCTGGATTCAAAATTACAACCTGAGCAGGCTGGATTCAGAAGTACAAATCATGTGCGGATCAAATTGCAACGCTACGTCGCTCTTCAACATAGAATGTAGCATGGAATGTGAGTCAACTTTCTACCTCAACTTCATAGACTTTGAAAAAGTCTCTGATAACGTCAACGAGAATTAATTTGGAAACTGCTTCAACACTATGGTTTTAGTACCACAAACCTCTATGAACCTCATTCAACAGATATATGCTATATGATGCTACATGCCAAGTGGTTCACTATAGAAAGCTCAGTGATGCCTGTGAAGTGAAGACAGGAGTAAGACAAGTTGACGCCCACTATCATCGATGACCTTCCTAATTGTGGTCGACTCGACTGGACTGTATCATGAAACACACTGTGAGGAGCCAGAAGATAGGTATATGCTAGCCGTACTGATGAAAAACCCTACACGATTTGGATTTCGCCGATGATGATTTATGTCTGTCTTATGTCGCACAGACTCAAAGATCTAAAGGCGAAAATCAACGAGTTGGCAGAAGAGGCAGGGCAGGGTAGAGAAAAAGGACTTCCTTCAGGTGAACATAGAGAAGACAAGGTGGTGAAGATACCCAACAATCAACAATAACAACAGGCACCAGTCACCATCAAGAGGGGAAATCTAAAGGAAGTAGTCTCTTTTACCTACCAAGGCAGTATCGTTTCAACTACAGGTGGCGGAACAGATGAGGACGTCAAATCCATGATCGGAAGGATAGCAAGACAGGCCTTCATTAATCTAAAGTCAGTGTGGAGATTTACTGCGTTCAGCATAAAGAACAAGATCCGGATTTTCAGCACTGTCAGTCAAATCAGTGTTTCCATGTGATGGTTGAGAGACTTGGCGCATTACGAAATGCATTTCCAACAAACTGCAGACATTCTTCAACGGCTATCTTCTACACTAACTTGATACCGAAGATCAGATGGCCAGAAAGAATAAGCAGCAGAGAACTCTGGCCTGTCAACGAACCAACCAAGAACCCATCGCCCAACAAATATACAAAAGGAAGTGGAGATGGATTGGATCAGGCATACACTAAGAAGACGGTTTGGGGACATCACGCACCAGGTCAGGCCGTCGAGTGGAACCCAAATGGGAAATGACGATTTGTGCATCCAAGGGTGACATGGATGAGATGGTGTGAGGAAGAAATGAAAGGTTGTGGGCAGACATGAAGCCAGGTTCAAAAGACTGCAGGGAACAGAATGAAATGGAAA